CGCCCGCACGCACCGCTGCTCCTCGCTCCACAGCGGCGGCGGCAGCCGGCTGCGCTCGTCGTCGCCGGCGTCGTCGCCGCCGCCGCCCGTCATGCGCGCCAGCTCCTCCAGGTAGGCGTCGAGGCAGTCGAGCGCGAGCATCGTCAGCCGCCGCGCCGTCACCAGGATGCTCCGCACCACGCACGCCTCCACGGCGGCGCGGTCCAGCCGCTTCGGCGCGAACCCGGCCGGCGACGCCTTTTGGCGCGAGCCGTGCCGCAGCGACTCCTCAATCACCTGCCGCCGGAAGGAGGCGATGCCGGGCGCGACCGGCCACGGCGTGTACTCGGTGTACCCCGGTGGGAACGGCCGCGCGCCGCACCGCAGCAGCGCCGTCTGCCGCATCAGCACCTGCACGTGGTCGCACGCGCAGCTGCCACCGGCCAGCACGCGCTCAAAGACGTCGACCGCGCACGTCCCGTGGTCAAAGAGCCGGTACGCCGCTGGCGAGGCCCGCAGGAGGCTGTCGAGCGTGGTGAGGTCGGGCACGTCGGAGAGGATGTGCAGCAGCAGCTCGTAGGGCAGCTTCTCAAATGCCATGATGGGATAGCGCGAGCCGAATGCAGACGATGATGGGGGGTTGGTGAGGAGAGGAGAAAAAAGGGGGCTAGTCTTGAAGTTTGGTGCGTAATAATGGTGAGCTTACATGGGTGCCCTTGGCTTATCAGATCAAACAAACACCCGGATCTTCGGCCGACCGATAGCGCCGACCACCGGAACAGGGGTCGCTGTCATGCCGACCCAGTAACGTGATTAAAGTGATTAAACTCTGTGGGGATTCTTCTTGGCTTGATTGATAAGATTGAATTGATTACAATTATGAGTCAAGTATCCTTTAGCAACCACCGATGAATTCCCTCGACCCGAACGATCAAGGCCCGGTTGACCGAACACAGCCCTGCTTAGCGGGAACATTGCCTAGCCGATCACTGAGCCAACTCAGCGCGCCCGCGGCCCCCGAAAACATCAGACCGACATGGTCCGCGTCGGGCAGTCTCTGGTACTGCACCGTGGCCCCTGCGGCGCAGTACGTGTCGACCAGCCGGTCCGTGTCGGCCACAGGGCTGATCTGGTCCTTTGCGCCCTTGTATATATAGATGGGCGTCGAGGGGGTGGCGTGGCCGGGGTTGTTGGCGTCCGTCACCGTCTTGACGAGTGCGCTGTTGAAGACGTCGGGGTCCTTGGTGTAGGAGAAGAGATCCTGGTTGGCAAAGGTGAGCACGTTGGCGCCGAGACACTGCGAGCTGATCTTGGTGATGACGTCGACCTTGGCCGGGATGATTTGGCTCGCGACGAGGGACGCGACCTCGGGATACTCGACGGCGAGCCCCACGATGCCCGTCGCGATCAGCCCGGCAAAGATGGTCTTGTTGATGGTGTAGAATACGCTGAGGATGCTCGGGACCGTCCCGCCCAGGGCGGCTCCCACAATCTTGAGCTCCGGCGCATACGTCGGGTGCAGCTCCGCGGCAAACTCAGATGCCAAGCTGCCGCCAGAGTAGCCCCAGAGGGCGACGCGCGCGTCCTTGGACAGCTTGACCGCGTCGGCTTGCAACGCGGCCCGGATCCCGTCCAGGACGGCGTGGCCGGCCAGGGTATTGGCCAGGAACGCCGACTTGGGTCCGAGAAAGTCGGGCACTGCCACGTACCAGCCCTTCTTCAGCGCGTCGCCGAGGTGGCCCAGCTCCAGATTGCTGACGAGGGTGCCAAAGGGGCCTCCCGAGTCGGCGAAGTACTGCATGACGTAGGACGGGGCGCAGTTGAGGTACGCGGCGTCCTCGGCGAACTGGTACGACAGGAGCTTGGTGGGGTCCGCGTTGTTGCGCGGGACGAGGATTGTAGTGACCGTCGCCAGCGGCTCGCCAAACGAGTCCGTCGTGCGGTAGAGCAGCTGATAGGCCGCGGACACGCCGGACACGGCCAGCGAGGAGGGCACCGTTCGGTTCCGGAGTATGGTTCCCGGCAGCGCGCACTCGTATCCCTCCGGGGGCGTGTAGAAGGAGTCCTTGGTCGGCTGGACCGGACCAAGTGCAGCGCTCGGGCTGCCGCAGCAAAGGGCCACGGCAAGGAGAACAGTCTGGCGGAGGCCGAACATTGTGGCTGCTTCGGAGAGGCGGGACTGATGAATGGACAAGAGACAACGAGCGACGATGGGCAATGTTGTTGTTTTTTAACCACCGGCTTTGTAGCGCGTCCCTACTTATACATGTTTCATTGAGTAGTCTATTCCTTTTCGCACCTTAGGCTTGCAGTAATGGTACACATGTAGCACGAGCTACACTAGCTGCGAAGCCATTCGAAAGGACTGGCCCCTGTTGAACAATTGACCAGTCATTTTTATAGAAATGAAGGACGGCGATCTGCAAGACAATTTAAACTCTTAACTATGAAGCCTTATTCGCAAACTCATGCCCGAGCGGGGCCGCTCGAGAACAAACAGCTGCGACCGAGGAGCACAAGTCGAGACATATGTATCCATCGTTGCTTGTAGTCCGTCCAACAAACCCCAAATTGATTTATTACCAGGACTTTGTTACTCGGCAGCTAGTGTGGTCCACGAGCTAGCTTGTGAAATTGTCTTCATTGTCGTCTTTGTAGTCGTTCTTTCTGTACTTGCTTGCGAGAAGCTTCATCCACCAATCATGCCTTCTAATACACTTGGGAGCCTCCATGCGCGGCGACCAACTGCTCCCACGACACAGCGTCTTGATACAGGAGCTTGGCCACCAAGCGGCCGTCCCACAACGCGCGATGCGGGAAACTATATGTGCAGCGATGGGTGATGTCTGATCGCCTCGTCCCCAGGATCGCCAAAAGCATCGTTTTGGATCCAGCGGGGGCCAAGTGCGGCGACTGCGCTTCCAGGTGTCGCAAATGGTCGCGGACAGCTTCCCTAAAGTCAAGAATGACTTGATTCTGCTCATCCGTAATTCCGGGAAATGTAATCCATTCTGGCGAGACTGCCAGCCGCTCCAACGGAGCCGTGCCAGCACCGCTCCAGTCTAGGACGCCCGTCAGATTGTACTCGTCGTCGAATAAGAGGTTTCCATAATGCAGGTCAAAATGACAAAGCAGGAACGGGCCGTGCACTCGGTCCTGGACGATGATTTGGGCCATGGCCGACTTGAGGACCCAGCATGCGGTGCGCCACTCGGGCTCCTGGACATGTGCCTCGAGAGCCTTGCGGTTTTGGTCTTGCCTGTGTCTGTAGAACCATTCAAGCGAGGCTGCCGGTGCTGCTTCCGTATCCTCGTTTGGGATGATTTCGGGGGGCCCATCGCAGCGCTCCCCGCACCAGATCCTTCCTAGCTTGTCAAAGGACAGATTCTGAAGCTGGGACAGAACTTCTGCCAGTTGCTTTGACACGTGTGGACTGTGTTTGGCTGGCACATGGCCTGCCATAGTGGCACCAGTTGTCTTCCCTTTGAGATAATCCATCAATATGTAGGGAAACCCAAAGGCGTTTGACGCGGATGCCTCAAAGGCAAAGACGTCGGGTACTGGAATCATCGTCCGCTGGCGCAGGGTTCTTAGGGTCGCGATTTCACTCAGCATACTCTTCCTTTCTGCTTTGGCATTCTCGTTGTCCAGTACGGAGGCATGGCAAATCCGAGCGATCCAGATGACGCCGTCGGAGAATGCGATTTTGAACACGACATTATTCATCCCAAAGGTGAAAGCGTCCGTGCTGATAGTGGCGGAACCGACATTTGCAAATTCAGCACCGCGTGCTAAAACTGCAGCATCTTCAAGTCGCTCAAAGTTGGCAGTTTTGAGGACTTGGCTAATCTGGTGATGAAGCTTGTTTGTGGTGGGCTCCAAGTCATCGACTGTAGACCAAATGGCGGCGCCGAGGGTTGACATTGCGGTCACGTCGCTGCGGTACTGGAGGAGAGAAATAATTCACAAGATTTGCTTGCTCTAGTAAGTGGCAATGAAGAAGGACGGATGCTCCTGAACTGAGCGCGCTGAATGAAAGATGACAAGGAGCTGGCAGCTGGCAGCTGGCAGCAACCTGTGTTGTGGGGTATCTTGTGCAGCTGGCAGCTGAGGCAGTGTGATGCCCTCAGCATCGCCTGTAGGGATCATATTGAGGTGAAACTGGAGGAGCGCTCCGGCATATGATTTATCCAGTTTAAAGGTCAATTTTGTTTTTCTTTTTTTTACAAAGAGTCTGCCTCTGATGCTCGGGTTAAATGCAGGCATAAACAGGGAAGCCTGTGCGGCTCCTTGGACGACCTGACAACCTGAAGCGTAGCTTTCTTTCTTTCTTTCTTTCTACTTGGCCGTTTATAAGGGCACTTGGGAAAAATACCTAGGGTTTTTTTTTTTTTTTTTTTTTTTGGCTCACGAGGCTGTCCATATTGAGTGGCCATCTTCTGGTCTGGTCGATTTCCGAAATACCTCGGAGTGACCTCACCGACCGACCGGCTCCCTCTTCAGCCAAATCTTAGAATAGCAATGGTACTTGCCACCATCAAAGAAAACATGGCTTTACCGGATTTTTTTCAGAGGGCTAGTTGATGTGCATTGCCGAGGTTGGCTGATCGCATCACCCCATACGAGGTCATGGTATCGATCTACAAGACGGATGTCAGTTCACTCGCCACTACTTCGAAAAAGTCGGTCATAGATTGAGAGGTAAAATATATTAAAAACAGGTAATATCACGCCTAAAGCTCACTATCTCTCAGTACTTGGCATAACAAAGGGCAATACTCTACGCCGGTATTAAAATATGCTGCCAATGTCCATGACATGTCTGACCAAAAGAGGCCCGATCACGAAACATATCCCTTGCCAGATTCGTACGCCACGCCTCGCGGTTTGAAGCGGACCATCAATTTTGGCTTCCGCCACATGACGTGTAGCTGGCTCTGTCCCGCCCAGTCGAGCTTCTTGTCCACCAGTTCCATGTCGTATTTCCACAGGAGCTTTGCGAGGATCAAATTCATCTCCATGTAAGCGAAGCTAGCCAATGTCAACGTTTATAACCAAGGAAAGACACTCCAATGCAGCCGGTGCTTGGTTCGCTTACTTTTGTCCTAGACAGCCTCGCGGGCCTAGCGAAAACGGCTGGCTTGCTTCCTTGACGTCTTTACACTCGGCATCAATCCAGCGCTCGGGTCGGAATGTGTCCGGCTCAGCAAAGTTTTCCTCGCTATGGGTCAATGTCCACGCATGCGTCGCGATTTCAGCCTGACGAATTTGCGTCAAGGAACACGTCAGTTTTGTCATGTTGCTCGTCTGGATGGGGAGAGGCTCCCATCTGATTTCAGAGGCGGATGCCTGAACAACTTACGCCTTGCGGAACCCAGTATTTGCCAACAAACATACCGGGCGAGGTTCGCGGAAAGCCACTAGAGCCGGGCGCGTAGATTCTGAGACCTTCGCTGATGACAGCCTGTAAGTAAGGAAGCTGGCGAGCTGCTGTGGCGCTGATGTCCTCGTAAGAGGCAAAGTGGCTGACAACTTCGGCCTGCAGTCGCTGGAGGCAGGCAGGGGACTTGAGGAGGTAATACGTGGTGGCGGCCAGGAATGTACTTGTCGTCTCGCCCCCAGCAATGCTGTTGAGTATACTTGGCGTTAATGGAACGTCTGAAGAAAAACCTTCAGTGAGATGATACGTACGTCAGAGTCGACACGTGCGCCGTCATTTCTTCACGGCAGATGTTGCCTTCGTGGAAGTTTTTGACAATGATGGAGACAAAGTCTTTCCGAGTTGACTTCTTCTCCAAGCGTCTACGGCTGTTAGCCTACAAGTCCATCTGTCATTAAAATGCATTATTGTAGGATGCAAGCACATACTCGGCAACCTTCTGGCGGCTGAACTGCGAGTTCTTGTTTTGCATCGCCAGCGTAGATGGGAAGAACAGCCTTGCCAGAGTCGCAACAAAGGGCAGACGGCGAAGGTTGTCAATGAGGGTGATAAAGTACAGATGATTGACAATGATTTCGCACCAGAAATGAGGTTTGCCTGTTGTTTTCATCAGTCAGCGGGACCTCTGGTGGTTTGGATTGAGGGAAGGAAGAGGGGGAACTCGCCGGCCTGCACGCTGTTAAACGATTGCCCAAACGCCATCTCACCCAAGACATCAAATGAAACCATTTCATACCACATGGTCATATTGAGACCCTCAGAACTGGTGCCGTGACTACCCATACGCTCGACAAATTCATCAACCACACCAGAAATGATGTGCTCCTGGTCCACTAGAGACTTTGTGGCAAAAGCGGCAGACAGCATCTTGCGCATCTGGCCGTGCTTGAGGGGATCCCGCTCGCTGCCAATACACCGAGAGCCAAAGCCAGCCCCGTAGATATCATAGAATTCGCTTTTGATGGGGGTGGGCGTGTTTGTGCGGTGGCCGTAGATGGCTTTCCAGGACTCGACCGAGGAGAAGTAAAGCTCGTTGGGAGAGATTCGCACGACGGGGCCTTGATTTAGACGTTTCAGCAAGGTGAATGGGAGAGCATTTTAAGCAACAGAGTGTGGCCTCTTACCATACTGGCGGTGGAGGTCTTGGATCGCGAGATGCAAGGTGCCTCGTTGGGACTGGTAGATGCGCCAGATGAGTCCCGACCTCCCGAGAAATGGGCCAGGAAAGCTGGCGAGCTTGTGAAAGTAAAGATTGTAAACGGCTGATACTAGCGCGTAAAATAGAGTCTTTTATCAAGTTAGTTGGCAATTGGGATCCTGTATGATAAGTGGCCACATGCCGAAATAGTTAGTAGTCCGAAATAGTCAATGGTGCGAATAGCACCAGTGGCTAGAACAACTTCGGTGTACGACATTGGGTGTTAGATTGAACAGTCTAAATCGTGAAAAAAACAAAAGGCAATTATAATCCGTGCTTTTACTTGGTATTAACGAAGACAAAGTCAGAGAAGAGTGAAGAGTCTATGTGTGTATCCCCACGACAGCTAACCGGGCTTTCCTATTCCGGCCACACCGGCCTGGCCTCTATACAGTAACTATAAGTGAGACTTTCCCCAACCCGCAGCAGCAGACGATACTATAGTAACAATTAATTCAATCATCTCAATTAATTACTTTAGTCTCAAGGCACGTAGCGATTCTATTTACTACAATTCTATCTAGTGTGATGCTGGTAGAGCCGTAAACTCTGGTGGTTTAAACACCTCCTGTTAGCGCTCGTCCCACAGGTCGTCACTAATGTTACGTCCTGTCAGGGTATAATCGCGAGCCTGTGATTCCATCTCCTTCGCAAACAGCCTGTTTTTCCTGTTGTGCCAGTCCACGCTCTTCCACTCCTCTCCATCGCGGCCGACAAAGACGGTGTCTGTCTCTGGACGCATCAGATAGACGACGGTCAATTTGACCTCGTCCTTGTGTGCGGGATGCGGGATGACTCGATGCAAGGACGAGCGCAACACCTTTTGGGACAGAAATTCCACAGAGTCGCCAATATTGCAAACCGTATGGCCAGGGCGCGGCTCGATAAACATCCATGTCTTGTTGCGCGGGTGGTAGACTTGCAGTCCACCGACGTCAGAAAAGACCATGGATAGGCTGCCAATGTCAGTGTGCGGGATGTGGCCGACCTTGTCAGACTCGGGCGTGTAGGGTAAATATTTGAGCAGGCCCAACGCTGTAGTCGAGGGCCGGTTTTCCCGGTGGTGGAGTGCCAAATTCTTCTCAGCTGCATACTCGAGAGAGCAAGACAAGCTGTCGAGGATATGACGGCCCATGTGAGCCAAATGCGTGTTGATGGACTCGACAAGCTCACGGTTCTCCTGGAACATCTTGGGTCCATGGATGGGGCTCTCGCGTGAAGCGACACTCAAGGCGTGCTGGAAAATCTGACACAGTGTTGGCCGAGGAAGAAATTGTCGAGATGGCCACTTCCGCTGCAACTTACAAGAAATCCCTCAAACCCATCCTTCTTACCTGCCACAGGTCCAGTCTGTATGCCGGCAGGCTTATATCTGTCAAGATGGTTAGTTTACTTGTTCGAATGCATGCCCGGTTGTGAAAATACGTACCCCATGATGGTTTCTTTGCCATCTTCGTGGTCCTTGTTAACCTCCCATGCATCCTTCTGCTCTTGCTGCAGGCTAAAAAACTCGAGAGCAATTTGCTTCACTTGGTCAATCTTTTGCTCAAGATCTCCCGACGGGTGATCGCGGATATCGACATAGAAGAAGCCTAGATCTGTGCTTGCATCCAGTAGCTTCATAGTCGTGGCCGGATCGCCCGCCAGGAGCTTGCCAATAGAAATGGTGGTAAGCCCTGCATCCATCGCCGTCAGAGGAGGCTGCTTGCTTTCATCCGAGTTTGCAGTCATATTGTGTACAGTTTATGAAGAACGGTGAAGATGTGACTTAAAGATTCGCTCCAAAAAAAAACATGTCGAGTATCAAGCACATACTGATCCTCCGGTCGCTCTCGGAGAGGCTTCGTTACACTAAAACGCGGATTTACCCCGATATGGAAACCTCCGTAACCACCAAGCAAGATATCGCCGTAGTGTTGCCTCATTTGACCTGCGCTTGCTACGCACCCCGGTAATAATCGTTATAATATAGAATAAATTTAACACTTACTAAAATGAGAGTATAAAATAAGATGGTGTCTTGAAAGCTTGTTAGGTATAGCGCCTATAAAATGCAACTATGAGTGTAGCTAGTAAAAAACCTCGAAAGATGCTATATCCACTGGTCTTGAAATGAAAGCGAATAACTGTATCAGTGATATTGCTGTCTCTCTGAAACTGGGCATCAGTGTCATCAAGATTCATTTCAATCAAGATATCCGACCCCATGCCATTCTCACAAGCATCTTCACCACCCTGAACACCAGCTGCCTCGCGGTTGAACTTTTATCAACAAGTGAGAAACATGTGTCCGCTGCAATCACCTTCGTCGGACAGCAGGATAAAAAAATTGCAGATATAGAGGCGAGTCTACACGGATACGGCGTGATTCAGGTGCTTCGGAAGATGGCAATCCTCGTTTTACAGGGCTTTAATTTGGTGAAAACAACAGTTGTCGCAGGGCGGATGCTGTCAATCTTGGAGGAAAACGGGGTAATCGTCGATATGACGACAAGAGGTGCTTATTTCCTGGAAACCATTTCGAACAAGGAATATTTACTAACGAGGGCGTTAGTGGTCGGAGAAGACAAAATATGCTGTGTTATAAATGCCTGCGACACGGCCCGTGCCCTCATTTTATTGCGCAGTCACTTTGACGAAGCTTCTGATTTTACTGGTGTATAGAAAGTTGTGCCTTCGATATTCGTATCAAGTAGTCGACAGAATTCTATACTTTTTTAGTGATTCCCATTTTCCTCCATGCTATTGTAGCACGGGACTCTGGTTGTCCTTTACGTCGAAGAGAATGAAGGTGTGGAATACAGATATTTGCGCTACTATAGCATCAAACAAGCAGACAAACCGACAAATTAAATAACCAAAAGGACGTGGGCAGACTGAGGTATAAGAGTAACTTCCCCAGAGGGCACAAGGTGCGAGTTATTGAGCTAGTCTAACGAAGGCACTGCCGTGGCGTAAATCCTAAGCCTCAGCAGGTGCAACAAAGTTGTATCGCAGGGTAGTCACGCTCCACTGCTCATTCCCACTAATTTGATATTCAAGGCTCTTGATGTATTTCAGAACTTTAGGGCTCAGTGTACGACCGGAAGCCAGCTTCTCAACAAGGACATCATGCTGAGCCTCCCACTCGCGACAGAGTACCCAAAGAACACGTTTGCAGGCAGAATATGGCAGCGAAGTCTCCTTTGAGAGGACCTGAACCGCTGAACAAAGGGCGGAGCCCTCAGGGTGGCCGGTGAGGTACGTGAGATGTTCTTTGTCCCAGCTGAGGATGTCGTTGACGACAGACAGATGCTTGGCGCAGTTTTTCTCAATCGGCTGGACAGAGTCAAGTTCTTCGGGAGTCAAGCGCAGTTCCATACTAAATCGGCCTAGAGCGCAGAGAAGCCTGAGTGATTGTGTCAGTTTGACGGTCGTTGAAGATGAATGTGCAGGAGCTCTCACGCCTTTCCGACGTCCCTCTCGCGGTAGACGAGGTACTCGCCCATCTCACCGATACTGAGACGGGCCTTGTCTGTCTGCGCTCTCATGAATGTGAAGACGGGTTCGAGGATATCATCTGCAAGCTCCTTGTCACAGGCACGCATGTCCTCCCACAAGTCATACATCATCCACTGCGCCGGGACTGAGCGGTCGGGCTGGACGTCACCGCGGACAATTGGAATCAGGGCGTTGTTATAGGCAGCACCGCTTTCGAAGGACATGTCTTCCAATATGTCTGACCATGCACATTAGCTTCATCCAACACACACTGGTAGGGCACAACCACCACCAGGCTGACGTACCATCAATGAGGAAAAGAATTGTAAGGAGCTTGCAAGCATGGTGAATTCGGTCTTCCTTTGCCAACGGAAAATAAAAGCAAGTAACGCGAGAAAAGCCAGCGGCAAGAAACTTCTTCCTGGCCTTGGCTGTCTCAAACGGCCAGTGCTTCAGAAAGTATCCATTCACTTGCTCGCTGACCTCTGTCTCCAAGGGGTGCAGCTTGTACACCAGACGAGATGGAGGGGGGGCATAGGCAGCGTCGTTTGAAATGCTTTCATGGTCGGCGGTGACAGGTTCTGGTCTTGAGCCCACAAAGGCGAGTCCTACCTAGCCTTGCTGTCAGTGAGTAGAAAAGACTTTCCAGTGAGTAGACCATTGTGTTGGACATGACAATAGTTTTTGCAGCCAAGGAGCGACCACATGGTATTCTTCATAAATACACGGATATAACGCGCAAAGCTGCATTGTTCCCAAACGGCCGAGCGCCGACGTCCAGAGCACTCGGAACCGCCACTGGAGTAGACCATTTTTGGAATTACCGACTATCGGTGAGACGGATTTGGCCTCGTTCTGCAGAATCGCACGTGACGAACCTTTTTGAAGCTTGCAGTGCTGCTTTTCACATTAGTACGTCGTCTTGTATGTTCTGTGCCTGTTGGAGTTGTGCCACCAGCCAATCATCTACTCACGGAAAAAAGAAGATATGACATCACTTAGTTTTACAATCGACGACATTCCTGATCTGACTGGGAAGCGGGTAATCATCACAGGAGGATCCTCTGGTATTGGCCGTGCTGCTGCAATTATATTTGCACGCAAGGGGGCTTGGGTTCTCAACCTCGACACAAAGCCACCCCAAGACAGTGGTTCTCACAACGTCGAATACAGAAACTGCAATGTTACTAGCTGGGAAGATCTCAAAAGTGCATTTGCATATGCTGGGAATGTCGACATTGCCGTAGCCAATGCTGGTATAGCAGAGGGTTCCGACTACTTGACCGATGCATTCGGTGCTCCCCCGGCCGATTTACAGGAGCCAGACTACGAGCTGCTCGATGTCAATCTTCGAGCAGTCTTCAATGTTACCAAATTGGCTCTCGCCAGCTTTCGGCAGAGGGAATGTCTAGGCAGCATCGTCATCACGGCAAGTGCTACCGCGTATGCGCCGGAACAGTGTCTACCTGTATACAGCGCCACGAAGCTCGCAGTAAGTAAAACTTTATTTTACCATAAAAAGAATGGCGATATATTGAGCGTGGAAAGATCTTTGTACCAGTCGCTTACGATGCTAAACTTACTAACAAGAGGCCTAGTTGATTGGTTTCGTTCGTGCTCTGAGATCCGCCGTCGCACGCGAGGGCATCACGGTGAACGCAGTCGCCCCCGCGGCCACCCTGACAGATTCGCTCCCTGCGAACCTGGCTGCGCCGATTTTGGCGGCTGGCTTACCCATCAGTAGCGCAGAGTTTGTTGGCCTCGCCCTGGTCTACTCTGCGGTCGCGACGCAGCCGGGCATGGTCGAGCTCTACGGCAAGGATGCGGATGAGCTCAAGACGAAGCAATCGAGATGGAATGGCCGCACGATTCTGACTTTGGGGGAGACGTACACGGAGTTGGAGGGCCCTATTGCTGATCTCAGGTCCCAGTGGATGGGAGAGGATAATGCTGCGCTGACTCGGCTGCAGCAGGCGTCGACTGATGCTCGGATGCATACTAGTGTTGGCCTTCTATGATTGGTGAACGGTTCTAATATTAAACATTTGTTTATTTGATACACTACGAGTGTATAGAAAATTTTGTCAACCGAACTTTTGTGCCGTTCGGATAGTCATGGGTGGCCGAATAAGGGCCATGCTGGCTACCCCAATGCTGGCTAGCAGTCCATGTGTACGATGGCTTTTCACGTTTTTCGCAATGGTGATTTGGGTTCAATTATGGTGCCAAGGACAAGAAGAAAACCATGCAAGATAATGATCCCTCGTCTCACGCACAGACAGGGCGCACTTTGACCATCAAAGCGGGACTTTCCCAGAGCGTGTGCATTCTGGCGTCCCTTTGCCAGTCCAAGCTTGGGTCTGCCAGCTCCAGATCATATTTGTAAATCACCTTTGCCATGGTAGTTTGCAACTCCATCCAACCAAGGCTATTTGCATCATGATTAGCTGCACGTCCAACATGCGACGCTCATGTGTCTTTCGAGCACTCACGTTCTACCTATACAGACCCTGGTTCCGTAGGAGAATGGCTGGCTGGCCTCGAGGTCATCGGCCGAATTTGGCTCTAGCCATCTGTCGGGATTGAACTTCCATGGATCGGTAAAGTTCGACGCAGAAAGACTTGCGGCGAGCGGGTTCGTCGACACAGTCACCTGCCACAAAGTTAATCATAAGCAGCATCAATATGCGGCAATTATACGTACACCTCCCGGAATAAAATGTCCATCAACAGTTGCACCTCCTTTGGGCACTAGGCGGGGTAGTGCAAGAGGGACGGGCGGATATATGCGCATCGCTTCCTGGGAAGCCGCCTTCAGGTATCGTAGCGGCGCGACGGAGGCCATTTCAATCTCTTCATAGCACTTGAAAGCGGATCGTACTTCTTTCTGGAGCCTTTGGTGCATATCAGGGTTTTTGAGTAGGTAATAAGTCATGCAAGAAAGAGCAGTAGCCGTGGTTTCGCTTCCTGCAATGCTACACACCACCTGTCAGTAGTCGTTTGAAAAGGGCATTCCTCACCTGTGTTTTTCTTTTCCTCACTTACACAAAATCAGACGAGTGTGCCGCAATTTGAGAGTCGGAAATGCTGGCCACTGCTCGCGCTTCAATGATTTTCGTCAAGAAATCTGGTCGACCGGATTGTTTTGCCAAGCGACTGCAGTGCCTCGTTAGTTGATCGAAACCGAGTCAAAATGGCGTCAACATGTCGTACTCTTGGACGAGATCCATGGTGTACTTTTGATGCAGACGATTCTCTACGAGTAATTTGTTGATCATGCCCCGGAAGAGAGTTTGAAAGATGACAGCAGGGAGAGGGAACCGCCGAAAACAATCGGCCAACGCTCCGAGGCGCAGGCTCTTTGTAACAATGGTAACCCAGAAATGCTCTTTACCAGAGGCGATCCCCCCAAAGTCCCGACCGAATGCTAGACTGCCGATGATGTCAAAGGTAGTTAGGTGGTACCACATGGTTAGATTGATACCTTGTTTGCCCTGACCTGTCTCTCCAATCTTCTTCACCAGGCGGTCAATACATTCAGCAATGATTGGCTCCTGCGATTTCATAGACCGATCGGAAAAGGCGCTGCTGAGATACTTGCGCATCTCCGCATGGCTCTTGGGGTCGCGCTCGCTCACAATGGAGAGGGATTCGGCGGCAAAGTTGCCGCCATCGTAGAATGTACTCTTGACAAACGTGTCGACACCCTTTCGAGTACCGTAGATGTCCCTCCAAGAGCTAGCTGTGTTGAAGCTGAGCTCATCAGGGGCAACACGAACCACAGGCCCTAGAGACTTGTGTCAAGAGCTGTCGCCCGTAGCGACTGTCTTTGGATTTGACACTTACCATACTTTTCGTGCAAGGCGAGCTGACGATACGGCTGGCGCCCACTCATAAAGTTCCATGAATAAAGCGCCTATCGTTCGGTCTCTGGTAAGCTCACAACCGAGCTGGATGGTTTTCGGGCTGCGGTATATACATTACTGAAGGAGGCAGATACAGGACCTGGGAACTTTCGCAGCGGATGCGTCACCCAGACAATGAGCCGGTAGAGTACCGCCGTGGCGACGACCTATCCTCGTCAGCATTCGCTCTTGATCTTATAATGATCAGCTTTGATTAGCACGCAGAAAAGGTATTACCAAGATGAAGAGCATCACATTCATAGTAGCTGTAGCGGTCGTGCGTGTATGTATGGGCGTGTTTGGTTGTCTGTGTAGCAGTCAAAAGCTTGAATACACCATCTGCACAAAACCCCGGGCCTGCCTTGGCGACGCCGCAGATATTCTGAGAATAATACTGGCACAGTACCTTGCATGAGAAAAACAAAGAGGTACATCTGCCGGGGTTTCCAAAATGGAATTTTGAAGCGCACGCTGAGGTCACCTACAACGACTGAATCTGGACAAGAGACATATGACGATGCCTTGTTGACAATTTTTTTTTCTCACTTTTTATCGTCAATTGTCATCTCACCGCGAAAAAGAAAACAGGAGAAAACAACGTCGAAAGGAGCAACAGAGCATGTCCTGTTCTACAGCCGGGCATGGCTGTTGTCAAGACAGGCAGGCACGGCTCCCTCCGGCAGTGGCCTGTTTGGGCGAACTCCGGCTGTAGCAAGGCTTTACACCTACTATGTGGTGTGTGTGTATGGCACGTGGGCCCACACCACTACTAGATAGGCAGCTAGAGTAGGGCATAGCCTAGGAATATTATCTTTATTCTAATACATATACTAATAAATTAGTAGTAATTATATTAAAAAATCAGTATAACTAGAAGTTCTATTAAAAATTATTAAACTATTATATTATTATAACCTAATTATATTAAAAAATAAATTATTATAACTTAGTTATTATAACCTAGTTATACTAAACTATTAAATTATTAGAACCCTTATTATTATAACCCCTATTAACTAGGAAGTATAGCTAGCTATATAGACTAATTAGGATATATACTATAAGATATATATATCTTAGTATATATTACTTATTACTACTTAAAAATAGAACCTATATTCTCTAAGCTAAATAAAGTTAAGTTAATATATTTAACTAATATAATTACTTATTAAAGATATATAGTAAACTAGATTAAACTACTACTAGTAATCCTAAAAGTAGAGGTAATAAAACTCTTATAGTTATAAAAAGTCTAAATTACTATATATTATCTTAAAGATAGAATAACTATTAAGTTAGCTAAATAGCTAGTATATAAGCTTATCTTATAAGATAACTAAAGGCTAGTAGTAAAAACTATACTATATTATTAAAGAGGATAAGTAATTAACTTATTATAAAGTTAAAGCTAGGTATCTTTACTATAGTTTAAAAACTATCTAGGCTAAGGCTATACCTTTTTAATAGATATTAATAGATAAGGTAGTAGTAATATCTAGCTATACCTTATAGTAGACCTAGATATACTTATTAGGATTATCTTCTAGGTAGTAGCTAAGACTTTAGTAGCTATACCTAAGGATATAATTAATTAAGATACCTTCTTAGTATATAACTATAGGTTAATAATAAAAGGCTTATAAAAGGTAGATATTAGCTTCTTTAAGTCTAAATTATAATATCTAGACTAGAATAGTATAGAAACTATTATAATAGGTAATAAAGATATTCTATATATTTATATATATATATTTACTAACTAGCTATTAGTATATAGCTAATTATATAAAGAATAGGCTATTTAAAATATTTAATATACTTACCTATATAGAATAGCCTTTTAATAGTATATAAATATACTTATAATAAATAATAGATAATATATACTTTATATACTAATATTAAATATCTATATAGCCTTTATTAATTACTTTAAGCTATTACTTTTTAAAGTAAATAGATATTTAAAATAGGCTATCTACTTACTAGATAATACCTAAATAGGAAAAAATATAAATATATATATTCTATAAGTACTATAAGATACTTAAGTAGTTAATTAAGACCTTTAGAACTAGCTTTAGTAAGTATTTAACTTATTAGACCTTAAGATTAAGGCTATTCTAGACCTATTATTAAAAAAGACTACTATTTAAGGCTTCTTTAGAAATATCTATAATTATTAAAGTATTATTTATAATCTAGCTATAAATAATAATAATAATAGTCTTATTAATAGAGACTAGGCTTAATATAGTAGCTATAATAATAATAGCCTTTAATAGCTATAAGCCTAACTATAAGTCTTTATAGGCTATAATTAGGATAATTAAGACTAGAAAGGATATAGGCTATAGATAGGAGGAAACTAAGGTAGTTATAGTTATTAGAATAGCTTTTAGTAAGGGAATAGATATAGTAGTAGATAATAATAGTATTAACTATTTTAATAGGAAGTCTAGCTACTTACCTTAAGTAATAGGTAGAAGCTACCTTATAGTAATAATAATAACTAAGCTTTAGCTAATACTAGCTAGGGCTAGAGTTTTAACCTAGGCTATAATAGACTATACTAACCTTAGGATAACTAACCTTAGTTTAATTAGATACTATATTATACCCCCTAGGTAGCTTATTATATAGATTATTACTAGGATATAGATAAGAGGGGATATAAGGGTTATTAGGATGCTTAGAATATAGGGTAAGATATATAGTAAGTATAGTAGGAGGACCCTTTTAGATATAGTAGTAGAAGTTACTAGTAACCACTACTAGATTACTAGTAACTACTACTAGATTATAGTAACTAAACTATAGATCTTATTATAGCTATAGGCTAGGATATAGTGGAAGAGGAGAAACTACTAGTTATAAGTAACTATAGATACTAAAGCTACTAGATAAGTAACTATAGACACTAGAGCTACTAGACTAAGGAGCTACCTATTCTTTATATCTATAAGGAGTATAGCTAGGAATTTAAATTAAATAATAAGCTTTATAGCTATATATATATAGCTTATAATACTAGCTCTAACTCTACCCTTAGCTTAGCTAATAATACTACTATTACTTATTACTATATATTCCCCTATAATACTAAAGAGATAGTAGTAAGTACTAGGATAGGATAAGATACTAAAGAGATAGTAGTAAGTACTAGGATAGGATAAGATACTAAAAAGATAGTAGTAGGTATAGGACTTATAGGCCTAAGGGCGGATATAGATCTACCTATTATTAAAGCTACTAGTATCTTAGTATAGGAAATACTACTAGGATAAGTATAGATATACCTATACCTATAGCTATACCCTAACCTAAAGATCCTAGATAAGTAGTTAGATATATATATAGATATAGAAGCCTTACTAACCCTTATAAATAAGAACTAGCTAGCTTAATACTATCTAAAAGTAACCCTAGCTAGCTACCTATACCTAATATATATATATAGTATTAGACCTAAAGGGGCCTAAGCTAAATACTATACCTATATCCTACTATACTTTATTAGTATAATACTAGATAGCTAGGTAGCTATAGTACTTTACCTAGCCTAAGTGTTTATAGTACTAAAACTAAAACTAAATATATTAATTAGTATAGATATATTAGACTCCTTTAAAAATAATATCCTATTTAGCTAGGGTACTATAGTACTCTATATATACTAAGGTATATTAATCCTAGTAATACTATAAATATAAGTATAATTATAAGTAAGGAGTTACCTAGTTATAATAGTCTAGACTATATAAGCTACCTTAAGTAAAATAGTACTTATAGCTATAATATATAAAGCTAAACTAGATATTAGATATATATATAAACTATAGATACTATAGTAAGCTATAACCTTTATAGTATTAGCTAAAGCTAATATTATATAAGTACTATTATAAAATAACTTAGGATACTACCTATAGCTATACTAGGGTATTAGACTTAGCTACTTATAGACCTTATCTTAGGATATAGAAGTATATTAGGTAGAATATATAGATACTCCTATAGTATTAAAGCTAGCTAACACCTATAATAAAAAACTACCTTACTTCTAGATATAATTAGATAACCTATTTAATAGGTTAATAGAATACCTAATAAGAGTATATATTTAGAGAGGTATAGACTAATAGATATTAGTTATATAGAAGCTAGTAAATAGATATATAGCCCTTTTTATAAATAAAGGCTTTACTAAAGTCCTTAAGGATAAGCTTATATATATTAGGCTAAAGCTAGGATAGGAGGAAGCTATAATATAGAAATATAAGATTTATTTATAAAGGCTAAAGGAAAGAAGTATTATTAAGTAGACTACTAATAAGCTCCTAGATATAAGAAAGATCTAGTAAATATAAATATAAGTCCCCTTTACCTTCCTAGTCTTTATAATCTAGTAAGGATAAGGAGATAAGTAAAAGGGCTATATAGTTATAGATATTAAGACCTTTAATAGGTATACCCTTAATAATACCTACTTAATATACTACTAGGATAATATTATAATAGAATTAGTATATATAAAGTATATTATAGTAATTAATATTATATCCTTTTATTACTAGTAGCTACTATACCTTAACTTAACCTAGGCCTTCTTAATTATAACTTATATAGGATAGTTTACTTTCTAAGTACTTATTATAGGCTATAAGAACTATAATACCTATATTTAATAATATATAGATAATATACTTAAGGATATTAAGGGTATCCTATATAGTAATAATATCTTTACTAGGTTACCTACTTTTAAAGACTATATAAAGGACCTATAGATAGTATTTAGAAGCCTATTAAGTTATAATATTTTAATTAAACTAAAGAAGAGCTTTATAGCCTTTATATTAGTTATAATTCTAAGCTACTTAGTAGATACTATAGGCCTAAGTATAATAGAAGATAAATTACTTATAGTTAAGAAGCTTAAATTTCCTAGGACCTTAAAGGAACTTAAGTCCCTACTTAGCTTTATAGGCTTACTAAGATATAATATACTATATTATACTATAATTATAAAGCCACTATAGGAGTAGAAGATAGTACTTTAGAAAGTATTAAAGGCTAAGAAATAAGCTAGATAAGCTATCTAGGCTATAAAGAATTAATTAGTAGAAAATATAACTAATCCTTCTTTAACTAGAGATATAAGTATATAGTAGAAGTATAAAAAGGACTATAAGCTAGGGTATAAGGTATAGGCTAGCTATATAGCACTAGCTATACTATCTTAGGCTAAATTAGATAGCTTTAAGAGCCTTATCTAGGCCTTTACTAATTATAATAACCTTATATACTTTATAGTCTACTAAAAACTATTCTTTAATATAAATATATCTATTTTAGGTATAGGTATAATAGTCTATTATATAATAAAGGTAGCCTTTATAAAAATTACTAACTAAGGGTAGGTTATATAATACCCCCTATATATAGCTATTAAGCTTATTACCTTCTTATTAAGAACCCTCTTAAATACTAAAAAGAACTACTAGGTTATAAAGATAAAGATATATAGCTATATCTAGATACTATAAAAGCTTTACTACTAGTTATATACCTCTTAGTACCTATTAGCTATATATTTTATAGATTATAGCTTAATTATTAACCTTTCTAAGTAGCTTAATATTATAAATAGTATATCCTAATATATAGTTAATAAGAAGCTTATTAGAGCTATAGAATATATTAGCTAATTTAATATATAGGTCCTATATAGATATAATAGGGATTATATTATACTAAATATACTTAGTAGGTTACTAACCTAGCCCCTATATACTTATCTAGAGGTATTAGGCTAACTAGATAACCTCCTAAATAATAGATTAGAGCTATAGCTAGATATACCCTATTAAAGAAGAGTACTAGCTAAAGTATATATAGCTATAGACTATATACTACTAGTTTATATATTAATACTAGGGATAAGCCTAGACTTTAAAGTAGGACTAATAGATAGATATACTATAAACCCTATCTAGAAGAGGATCTTTAATACTATTAAAGTAAATAATAAACTATAACTAGATAATAAAGCTAAGCTATTATTTATATAATAGGATAAGCTATTATATAAAGTTATAGAATATTTAGATAGTTATAAAGTAAAAAAGAAGCTATATATTCTAAATAGCTATATAACTAAGCTCTTTAAATCCTTATATACTAGAAACTATAGAGGTTATAATAAGCTAGTCTATCTTCTAATATAGTTCTATATCTATAATAGGCTATAGAGATTCTATAAGTTTCTTAGATAATACTAACTATATTAAACCTATAAGAAGATATATTATATACTATATAAGAATCTATAACTACTACTACCCTTATTAATCCTCTTTTACTATATATTCTTTAACTTTCTACTAGCCTTATTAGAGTTAAAGGAAGGATATATATATATAGTAGTACTAGTATATAAGTTTAATAAGGTAGTTATCCTAAGACTACTTAACTATAAGGCTAGCTTAGTAACTATAGTAGAAGTTATTATAAATACCCTATTCTTATAAGAATAGGGCCTATTATAGATTATACTATTTAACTAAGACCTTAAGTTCCTATTAGCTATATAGTAATATATATAAAGATAGCTAGGGATAAAGCTAATATATTCTATAGTATATTACTTATAGACTAATAGATAGATAAAAAAGGCTATTTAAACTATCTTATTAGCTATCTATATATACCTAGCTATTATAATTAATATAACTAGATAGGAAGAGATACTACCTAGGCTATAATTCTAGCTAAATATAGCCTAAAATATAGTAATAAAGTATAGTACCTATAAAGTTATTATAGGCTTTAACCCTTAGGATATAGTTAATAGCCTACTACTAGCTATAGTAGCTAAACTAGATATAACTATAGTAAGGATTATAGCTTATAATACTATAGTAATAGTAGCTATAACTATAAAAAGTTATTATAACTAAAGATATAAGATAGTATTCTTTATAGTAAGTAACTAAGTCTATTTATAACTATATAGAGGCTACTTTATACCTAAGTTACTAGGATATAAATTTAGTATATAATTTACTAGCCTATTTATAATTATAGAAAGGATAGGATAGGTAGTATATAGACTATAGCTACTATAGTTATAAAGGATATATAATATAATATTAGTAGACTACCTTAAGCTAGCTTATAGATATAAGGAATAGGATATAGGGAAGCTAGACTAAATACTAGTATATATAAAGGACTACCTTATTAACTATATTTATAATACCTAATAATAAGGCTCTAGGGAATAATTCTAGGTAAGATTTAAGGATCTTAATAGTAACTATAACTAATAGCTCTATACTAAAGATCTAGGTAGATATATATCCTAGCTACTACTAGAATAGGTATAGAATAAGTAGGTATACTTAGAGTAAATATAGGTAAAGAATAAATAAAGAAGTATAGAAAATAACTTATAGTAATATAAATAGTACTAGGCGCTTTTTATACCTAGTACTATTCTAATACTCCTTATAACTAACTATATAGTCCTTTACTTTTACTCTAACTTATATTTCTACCCTTTCTCTTACTCCCCCTTTTTCCCTTCTTCCTTATCTATCCTCCTATAACTATATTATTATATACTATATAGTAGCTAATAAGCCTTTAAAGTAATATAGATATATAAGTTATAAATAGATAATTAAGTATTACCTATATTTATAATATAGAACCTAGCTATAAATCTAGCTATAAATCTAGCTAATAATTAAGTAATACCTATATTTATAACTAATTAAGTATTACTTATATCTATAATATAAGACCTAGCTATAAATCTAGCTATAAATCTAGCTACTCTAGCTAGTCTTAATAGTAATAAAGATTAGATAAAGAGATAAGCTAAATAAAAAATAAGTATAACCTTAAAGAGAAATAAGCCTAACCTAGATATAGATAATAAAATATATCTAGATATATTACTTATATAAGAAAGTAACTAATAGATTAATTAGATATACTAAATAGTCTTAAAGCTTATTAAAAGCTTAATTAATAATAACCTAAATAACTATTTAACCTAGCTTAAAAAGATATACTAAGTCTTATTAACCCTAGATAGTATAAGTAAATACCTACCTAGGTATATTAATATAACCCCCTTTAATAAGTATAGAAAGGTACTTTATAATATAGTAAAATTTATATAGCTATTCTTTAGTATATCTAATAAATACTAGTAGATAATAGTAGAATAGAACTATTTATATATAACCTCTAGTAATAAGAGTATAATAATAACTAGATTCCTTATAGCCTATACTATAACTAAAAATACCTAAATATTCCTACTATTTAGATAAATACTTATCTAGATATAAATCTAGGGTATATATAAGGTCTAGAAGCTTATATAGTATAATTTAATATTTAAAGAGTAATACTATATACTAAATATAATAGTATTATTACTATTAGATAACTAGACTAAAGTAGTTAAGGTAGTATATATAAGGTAAGTAGCTATTATTATTATTATAAGGACTAATACTATAGGACTAACTACTACTAAACTAGGGGCTTTTAAGATAGCTACTACTAAGCTAGTTATAGCTCCGCCTTAAATACTCCTATTTATATAGTTAGTTACTACTAGGGTAGCTACTATATAACTAGTAACTAGAGTAGCTACTATATAACTAGTAGCTCTATCCTAGCTACTACTCCTACCTACTAAGCTAGCTACTATTACTATAAACTAGAAGTAATATATATTTAGACTAATAGAGGGCCCCTAAGGTAATATTAAGATAATAAGTATACTAGCTAGGCCTACCCTAGTAACTACTAAGTAAGTTACCCCTATAGTACTAGCTACCTTTAAGGTAGCTACTATAAAAACCTCTAAGTTAATTATAACTATAACTAATAAGGTAGTTATTAGAAGATATAAATACTACTAATATAAACTAATACTATTATTATTATATATAATAGAAGTTATATTAATAGATTAGCCTATAGCTATATAGGTATTAATACTAAGGCTAATATAAGAACTAGTATAGGTACTAGCTAGCCTAGCTTAGTTATAGCTATAGCTAACTAGCTAGCTTATAATTATAATATTAGTAATAAGGTAAATATTAGCCTTAAAGCTAGTATTAATACTAAAGCTAATATAGAAACTAAAAGCCTAACTATAACTATAGCTAACTAGCCTACTTATAAGGCTATAACTAATATTATTCTATAGTCCCTTCCTAGACCTAGAATAGAGCTATTTATAGTTATTAGCCTAATAGTAAGAAGCCTAGGTAGAATACTACTTATAGTTTATAAGACTATAGCTAGAAGGCTATTAAGACTTAGATAATATTTTAGCCTTATAGTATATAATTAAGTATAAATATAGTATATTATAAAAGATAATAAATATTATAGAGTTTATAAAAGGCTAAAGGGTAAGGTAAGAGTATAGCTATAAGGTAGTATTATTATTCTACCTTTTTTAATATATAATAAAGAAGTATAACCTTAAGATATTTATAATATTAAGATAATAAAAAGATAATATATATTAATATACTAGGGTACTAAAGTACCTAACTATAGTAATAATAGCTATAATATAAAAAGACTATAAAGAGAAATATAATATAAATTAGATATTAGAAAAGTAATTATAAAGCTTAGTAATTCTAAAGGACTAGGCTTAAGATATATAAGGAGATATATAAGGAATTTAATTAGGAACTTTACTATTACTTTACTATTTTATAAAGATAAGGCTATTTTATAGGGATAAGAAGATAAATTACTATTAGATAGGATAATATTGTTATTATAGCTTTTAGGTATTAATAAGGATATTGCTATTTAGATAGCGGCACCTATAGTGTATATGTGTGGCATGTGGGCCTACACTACCACTAGATAGGCAGCTAGAGCAGGGCATAGCCTAGGAATATTATCTTCATTCTGATACATGTACTGACACACTGTAGGTTACAGGAAGCACCAATTTACAATTTACAGGACGCGTTTGGAATTTGCAGCACACCATACTAGAGACCACTGTAGGGTACATGAGACCCCTCTAGAGCTTACACAAACCACAGAATACATCATCATCATCCCACATACCACAATGGCATAACAACCACCATGTAAGGCACTCTTAGAGCCCTCAGAGCACGTAAAGCAGCATAGCTCGGTACTTTAGCGACCTTGGGTTGTCTTTATGTACTTTGGTATAGCCCTCTACATAGTTCTGATTTGGCTGGTGGAGCTCCCTAAATTAGAGGTAGGTACTGTAATAGCTGTAATAAGGACTAGTTGCCCTGTAAATTTCAAATCGCGTCCTGTAAATTTCGGGCCTCAACTATTAGGCCTCTATACTCTGTAGCCAACCTTTGCTCCTCGTCATGGCTCCTCGGCTTGAAATCAGGCATTGCCATCATCTTCACAAAAAGCAGACCTCAACCAGATGGCGCCACCTTGTGACGTCGCCATCACCAGCACGACACGGATCCAAGCCGAATCGCCATCACAAACTTCTTGCATTGTGCCCTTGTCGCTGTTGGACGCAACGACTGCAGAATTCGCCTTGACCAGTGCCGTTTGGTTGTTTGATCGTCCGCGGCTTGCTTCTCAGCAACCATTCGACTTGACCGCCCATCTCGCATCTACCCTAAGCACGACGTTGGATGCTTATCCGCAATGGGCAGGTCAAATCGAAGCCGTACAAACTGTTGATGGCCAGGGTCCAGCTGAAGCAACAGAGATTCCCGTTCATGCGCGCCGCTTCGGGCGCCTTTTTGCAAAGTTTGGAGACAAACGAGACCCTGGTGTTGCATTCAGTGCAGCGACATGCGCGATTACGCTTGATGAGCTGTATCCTGCCGAGCGGCGAGTGCATCACACGTTTTGGGACAGCCAAGCCTGGCTAAATCGATTCACCTCCCAAGCGGACATTGCCAATGCATTCCAGCCCGACGTTCAAGACACAAATGGCCTTCTCAAGCCTGTCATGGCTATTCAGGTTACAACCTTGGCTTGCAGCGGCTTTGCCTTGGCTGCCAAAATTGCTCACCCGCTTGCCGACATCACAGCTTTAGTCACCTTCATGAATGACTGGGCAACCATCAGCCGCACGAGTATTTTGCAGTTGGAGCGATGCAGATTATGTCCCGTATTCAATCCATGCAAAGTCGATGCTGCCGCAGCGCGCAACATTGACGCCCCGGAGCCTGCTGCCGAGGTGCTACAGCGGTCAGCAACCATGCCCATGCATCGTTACGACTGGTGGCGAGACGTCTCAGGCTGTCCCTGGCCTACGAATATTCCGGAACCATTTCAAAAAGCCAAGATGGAGGCTGCTGGCACCGCGATGCCATGGTCGGAATGGGAGACTGGCTCTCCAGTGTCATGCTCCATTGTTCGCCTCAGCGCAGAGCAAGTGGAATTTCTCTGGGCCAGCGCCAACAAGGAAAGCGGGCAGAGACTCAGCCGCCATGATGCAGTCTTGGCACATATATGGTCCTCGATAAATCGCGCTCGGCGCTTGGGCACAGATACTGGCCCTGTACACTGCGATCTTACATGTGGCGTGCGCCCGGTGCTTCAACTGGGTGGTTCCTTTATAGGGTCTCCAATAGTCATCATCAATATCCAGGCGTTGGGTGCCGAGGTTGCCGGAGAAGCAGCAAGTCTTGGTTCTATTGCAACCCGCGTTCGAGGAACAATAGAACAAGTTCTCAAGCCAGAGCCTATCGGGGACCATCTGCATAGCCTCGCCTACGAAAAGTCGCCTCAGAGAATCTGGCAGGCGTTCCTGGGCCGGCGCTATATCCTTGTTACAACCTGGGCGCGTGCTGGCGTCTACAATATCGATTTCGGATTCGCCTCGGAAATTCGCTACGTAGATGGCATTGTGCCAGATATGGACGGCATAGTGGTGATCAAGGAAGCGCCACCGATTGTTGCGGCTGAGGCGTCAGACACATCGTGGACACGCAGTGGTGTAGATGTCTCTATTCGCATTCGTGCCGAAGACATGGAGCGTTTATTGGCAGATCCGCTCCTTTTCCCTTCTTTTCCCTTGCTATGTTAGCTAAATGATCTCCCAGTTACCGCGATACAGCGTGCTGTGGCTACTGCTGTCATCTTTGTACACTGAGAAGCCCAGCATCCGCCGCACATTGCGCCATAAAGCCGGAATGACCCTGTTCTAAGCCTTGATTATTGATGCGTAGCTGTACAGTAAACGATGTTCCGGCGCAGAGCACTTTAAGAAACGAAAAAGCTGCATACTAAAGGTTCTCTCTTCATTTTCCACTGCATCTCTACCGGACGAGCTCTAGTTTTGCTTTCTTCTCTTGAACATGATTCGACCACCGGGATTCGGTAAATTCTGTGTCTCGAACATCAAGCTCGGCGGCCGTGCAGAATTGTTCTTGGGGAAATGGAAGTCATAGTTCATGAGCAAATGGACCATGATGGCCTTGATCTCAGCAGAGGCAAAGAAACGACCGGGACAAGCATGACGACCGTATCCAAAATGCATACTTGATGAGTGCGAGGCAGCATATGCGACGGAAAGCCTGGTGCTCTCCTCTGTCCTATCAGCCTTCTTTGCCTGCGCAGCGCTTTGCTGAATGTCGTGGAAGCGGAATCCTTTGAACTTGTCTGGCTCATCAGGGACAATGGCGGGGTCCATAGAGACAGCGTGGGCGGGGATGCCTATCGTCGTATTGGCGGGAATTACTAGTCCATCAGCAAGACGATAGTTCTTCGTCACGACTCTCTCAAAAGTGACTAACGGGGCTTAGATTAGCGACTTGGACGACAGTATTTGCCATATTCGGAGAACGGCGGGAGGGGGGGGGTGTTACTCAAGAGAAGCGGGTTGAACCTCTGACTTTCTTTCATGATGCTGTCTAGCCTGGACAGTCCCTGAAATCCCTGGCGAGAGAGTTGTCCTTGTTCATTGAGATTGTCTCGAATCTCTTGCCTTAGGGGCTCTATATACTCTGGCATGTTGCACAGGTCATATAGGAGCTGCGTCGGTGCCGCAGCACTGGTGTGTATAGCGGCGAAGCTTACTTTCAATAAGATGCCGGCGAGAAAAGCTGGGTCTTTCTCATCACCTTTGGCGTCTTGATCCATCCAGCACAGGAGGTCAGAGGCAGTGCTGCCTGTGGCCGCCCGCTCGTTGATCAGAGGGATGGCCGCCCGCTCAGCAGCCTTGTAATGGGCCTCAATCTTTCGAATCGCGGGGATGAATCGGGCTGCAATCGGCTTCAAAAATTCGGGATATTTCTTAAGTTCCTGGGCACCGAGAAACCCGTCGAGAGCAAAGTCAATGGACGACTGGACCCATTCCTTGTTCTGGCTCAGCACGGTGCCGCCAAACATGCGACTGGAGACGCGCGCGACGATTTGGGTAATGCGATCAACCACTTCTACCTCGGTCCAGTCTTGATGTGGCAAGGTCAGCTGTATATGCTTTGGAGGTAGCAAAAGTGAGAGTGCTTACCATCACAAGCAGGGAATTCCGCGTCAAAGGCGTCCCTTATTTCTTCTTGAATGCCGTCCATGACTGTCCCTATCAAGGGTTATTCCGTGTCAGCAATAGTGGCCGTACCGAGCAGAATCGTAGAGGCTTACACAAGTTCCGATTCAACTGCCCGCGGACGCAGCGCGGATGCAGGGTCGATCTGCTACCCATGGTGGTGTACTTGCCCTCAAACATCTCGATAAAGGTCGCCACAAAGTCGACTTCATCGATGGGCGCAGATTTGAGCTCTTCCAAGTACTTGACGGGCAGCATGAGGCGCTCGCCCAGCTTTGATGGCACATAGTAAAGTCCGCCATTGGTCTGCCGTAGTGGTGTTAGCTGGGACACATGTGCGAAACCGGAGTCATTTTGTAAAGTACCATCCGATAGCCCTCTAGAAGCATCTGCATTCCATCGTTCAGGAACCGTATGCGACTTTTTTTAATTGCCTCTTTATTGGAGCCGCCGACAATGGGAATGCCAGCTATCAGCTGCTGCCGAACAGGACGGAAAGCGCAGTAGAGGCCAATCGCAATGATGAGAGGAATGAACAACCCAAGTCCCAATCGAGCTTCAGTTTCTGGAACCTGGATATATCGAAAGGCGCGGCGAACGAAATTCGCCGCAGAGATGGTGTCGGTCATTTGATGTACAGTGCAAGTCGCGGTGTGTTTAGTCAAGCTCCTTCATACATGCAAGCTGCAAGCGTTCAATGGCAGCGTGCTCCAATACCACTCAGACGAGGGCTCAAAAGGAACGTAAACGAAGTTCAGTCACCCAGGGAGGAAAGGAATTCAGGGTTTGATGAAACCAACGTGACGCTGCAACTGGTTAATAGTCCATGTGTACAATGAGGCATTGATACTCGCCCAAAATACCAAATTCAGAACTTACAGGGCACGCCGACAGCTTTCAGCGCTGCACCAAGCTATCCCGAATAGTCGAAGCCCGAAGCCCGACCATCAATCGGCCGTCTGCGACCGTGTTACCGATAATTGCCGTAAATGGTCAGTCCAAGGCTACCTAGACAAATAACATGCTTACTTGGCTGATTCTGCTTCGTCATTTTGATCAGAATCCAAGATATGCCGGAATCAACTCACCCGCAACCGCCGCCCACCATGGCTAATACATTCGTGCACTTCAAACTCGATGTAGACAAGGAATCGAGGCGCCGCTTCAGCACAAGACAAGTCCACGCCGGTGCAACCCCCGACCCTAACACAAAAGCGCGTGCTGTGCCGATATATGCTACGGCGGTTGGTTTTGCATCTCACTACTGCTGCGCAGCGACTAATGTTGGGCACAGTCGTACGTGTTCACCAATAGCGAACATGCGCGCAGGGTATGCAGCAACGAGGAGGCAGGATATGTTTACTCGCGCATTGCCAATGTACGTAAAGACAAATGCCCGCCTCACTGCTTTGCTTACACATGCAAATCGCCCGCAGCCGACCGTTGAAGTGTTGGAGAAGCGAGTTGCCAGCCTCGAAGGTGGCACTGCAGCGGTTGCATGTGCCTCTGGGCAGGCTGCTGCTTTTCAGACGATTCTTTGCTTGGCAAGCAGTGGCGAGAATATCGTGTCGTCGACAAACTTGTACGGAGGCACGTACAGCATGTTCAAGACATTGCTGCCGCGCATTGGAATATCGGTCAGGTGGGTAAACGACGACGACCCGCGGAGCTTCCAAGCCTTGACCGACGAGAAAACAAAGCTCTACTACCTTGAGACTGTTGGGAACCCCAGAATCAGCGTTCCTGACATGGCAGCCATTGCTGAGCTGGCGCACGCCCACACCATACCCTTTGTCGTTCGTATCCTACCCATGAAGAAGCGAATTAGACCATGAGTTTCCCGCTGACCATCTTCTCCTGTTTAATAGGTTGACAACACATTTGGCGCAGGAGGCTTCTGGTGTCCTGTCATTGACTACGGCGCCGATATTGTGATTCATTCCGCGACGAAGTGGCTTGGTGGCCACGGAACCACGGTCGGGGGTGTCGTTGTCGATTCTGGTCGCTTTGACTGGAGCAAGACGGGCGGCAAGTTCCCCGTCCTCACGCACCCGGCTGGAAGCACAGTGGAAGTGTCATATGCCACAGCCTATGGGAACTGTGCTTTTGCCTTGGCAGTCAGAATTGAGGGCGTGATGAAAGTAGGAGGGGTGATGAATCCTTTTGCAGCGCAGCAGATCTTACTGGGCATAGAGACGCTCAGTCTGCGATGTGAGCGTATCGGTGCCAACGCGCTCCGCGTTGCCACGTACTTGTCTTCCAGCCCCAAAATAGAGTGGGTGTCTTATCCAGGCAAGTGTTCCTTGTTTTCATGTTTTCATGCAGGCAGATGATGGGCTTGAAAGTAGCGATGGGCTAATTATTGCCAGGGCTGTCTACGGACCGCTACCACAGCATGGCAACAAAATACATGCGCCGCGGATACGGTGGCGTGCTGTCATTTGGTCTCAGAGGCGGCACCACTGCAAGCAGACATTTTGTAGATGCTCTTGATCTCATCTCTAATATGACCAAGTACGTCGCTTTGTAGGCCCTCTGTATCCAAGTACTAACCGTGCACGCAGCGTTGGCGACTGTAAAACAATGGCGACGCATCCATGGAGCTCGACACACTCCCTCCTGTCTGAAAAGGACCGTATTGATGCGGGTGTTACAGAGGTGAGCCAATGGAGCAATAGACACGGAAAAGGCTGTGTGCCTCTAACTAAGGATATGTAGGATTTGATTCGTCTCTCCATCGGCACGGAAGACTGCGACGATATATTAGCGGATATCCGAACCGCTTTTGAAGCTATTCCTCAGACGGCCGCGGCTGGGGGCAGTGTTGAAGAGACTACGGCCTGGGTCATTGCTAGGGAAGAGATGACTGCTGCGGAAGAGATGGCGGTTACTAAAGAGCTGGCTGCTGTGAGGGTAATCACCACTGAGGATATCGCTGCTGGTGAATGCGAAGAAATTACCACTCCTGAGGAGACTGATGCTACTGGACAGGGATATCCAGCTACTGAAAGCATGGATAATGTGGATAATACTATGGCTGCAGAAAACAGCACAGTTTCTGTTTCAGCATAGCGCTTTTCCTCCATAGATCTATTTCTTCTTTTGCAAAGCACGAATCTTACAATCTGTGTCAGAAAGGAGCCGACGTCCTCACCAAGGCGTTCACGAACCCCAATCCCGCCAACTTGTTAACAATTCGCTCAACCCATCTCCCTGTGTATCCGAACCTGAATCATATCCCAATTATCCTATCCCATCTGATTATGCTGCTGTCTGCGCCGTACCGTACCGAGATCGTCCAGACGCGGGAATGTCGAAGAGCGGTTAGCCCGAGAGCCTAGTTGCCTAGTTGGGATAAACCGGTGACGGCAGGACAGAGAGTAGGCTGATTTGTTCGTAGGTAGCTAACCTATGCATTCGAAGAAACTCGGTTGAACTTCTGGCTAGATAGAGTTGGCTCTCATGGAAGACTCAATCGTCGAATACGTACGAGACTCGGTCTCGCGCAGCCCTTTGGCTGTTCTCGCCATACTCGGCACAGTCTATGGTCTTCTGCTGGTCGTCTACCGTCTTTTTCTGCACCCGTTATCTGGATTCCCCGGCCCGAAGCTAGCGGCTGCGACGCTTTGGTATGAGTTCTATTACGACGCCATCTTGCGCGGCCGGTACACTTTTGAGATTGAGCATATGCACCGCCAGTACGGTCCCGTGGTTCGCATCAGTCCTCATGAGCTACACATCAACGACCCGGCTTTTATCAGCGAGCTTTATGCTAGTGGCAGCAAGAAGCGTGACAAATACCCCTACTTCACTGGCCAGTTTGGTATCCCGGATAGTGTCTTTGGCACGGCTGGCCACGACCTGCACCGCATGCGTCGCGGCGCTTTGAACAAGTTCTTTTCCAAAGCCGCCGTCACCCGCTTGGAGCCCATTATTCACAGTGCAGTCGAAAAGCTCATCTCGCAGCTTGAGACATATTCTGGCGCTGAGAAGCCTGCGCCTATGACAATGGCATTCAGTTGCATGACCACCGACATTGTGACCGAATATGCATTTGCCAAAAGCTATGGCTTCTTAAACTCTCCAACCTTTGAGCCCAATTTTCACGGCGCCATTATTGCAGGCACCGACATGGGCGCTTGGATGAAGCAGTTTCCGTGGCTCATGACGCTCTTGAACAGCCTACCCCAGAGTGTCCTCGCCAAGATGAACCCAGAGGCAGGAAGTTACGTCAAGTTCCAGGAGGACATTCGTCGCCAGATTCGCCAGACACAGGACCAGATTACTTGTGGCTCCTACGAAAGTACCCAGGGTCGCACCATCTTTCATGAGCTGCTCACAGGCGACCTCCCAGACGAAGAAAAGAGTGTGTCCAGGCTCTGGCAAGAGGGCCAGATAGTGGTCGGCGCTGGTACAGAAACAACTGCGTGGACCTTGTCTGCTACCCTCTTTTACATCTTGAACGACGAGCGCGTCCGTCTCAGGCTACGGAAGGAGCTTGCGGCCGCGATCCCGGAGCCATGCCATCGAATCGACTGCACTGAACTGGAAAAGCTTCCGTATCTCAGCGCAGTCATCACCGAGGGCTTACGTTTATCCTATGGGGTGAGCACAAGGCTCCAACGAATCAATCCTACTGCGCCTTTTTACTTCAAGCCGTCGTCGCTGGCAGCGGGTAAGGGCCGCCCAGAGTACGTCATTCCACGCGGAACGCCCGTGGGTATGACTTCTACATTGATCCATACCAACTTGGAACTGTTTCCTGATCCTCATACTTTTATCCCTGAGCGCTGGCTCGATGATAATGGTCAGCGACATCATTTGCTGGATGGATATCTGCTCTCGTTCTCGCGCGGAAGCCGCCAGTGCATTGGGATACAGTAAGTTTTTTTTTTTCTGTATGAACCAACCAGAAGTATGTTGCTAACAAAGCAGACTTGCATATGCCGAGCTATTTCTATGCCTTGCATTGCTCTTCCGTCGTCTTGGAGACAGGATGGAGCTCTTTGAGACCACCAGAAAGGATGTCGAAATTTACTACGACCGTTTCGTCCCCACCCCGAGGTATGGAACAAAAGGCATCAGAATATTGGTTGAAGAAAAGCCTTGAAACAGGGTCTGGGACGAGCAGGGTGGTGGTGCACTTTGAAAGGTATGCTTTCAAGTGATTTTGAAGCTAGAATACTGCATACACCAGAAAGAATCTTGTAATGAGGCACACATTTGTAAAGTTGCAACATCTCGCAGTGTCCGACGTCTGTAAAGTGCAATTATCTTTCAAATACTCAAAGGAAAGCGAGATGAATGGCACACTTGCACGTGTCTAGAGCCCTTGTGAAATGTGTATCCGGAATCCAGGGTAGCACATGGTGCAAACATATGGATGAGGCAATCGGCCCAGTCCAGTCGCGACTACCAAATAGATATTGACCAGGCTGATCTTTGGCGAGTACCACTACAATTTTGCGCATCTTGCATAACATACAGCGTGCAGCATACCAGGGCGAGACCGAGAAGAAGGTATACAAGGGAATAGCATATGTAGATTGCAATATACTAGCAAAGATTACATTTATCATCATTATTCACGAATCAGATTAAACATCTCCCCTGTAAACTTGCATCATAGCCAGATAACTAGAAACATGTTTATATCAAGCCTAGTAATCCCCGACCCAACGGAAATCGCCCGATTCAGCAACTCCGGCGCATCTGTCAACCCACCCGAATAAACACAGCATAACACATTACATTTCCAAGTACTTCTTCAACTATCGGTTGCTAGACTTGCCCATGTGTCCCAGGATGTCGAGATTCTCATTGAGGGCCAGCTTCAGATCACGCACTATCCATCCATACGCGCGGTGGTGCGCGTTGATGAGCTTTTCCAGATGGCTGATTAAACTGTTCAGCCTGGTGATACGGACTCCAAGCAGGCACTTCATGATCCGCACCTCGATTGCGTCGTCCAGCCGCCAGCCGCCGGCCGTGAGGGCGCTCTTGCTGCTGTCCTTGGTATTGGAGCAGTGCTCCTTTGCGCTGGCATGACCGCGCGACCCAGACGCTGTCAAGATGTCCAAGCTGCTCATGTTGCCAATCATCTCACGGCACATGGAAAGTACCAGGATGACGTAGTCTGACCGCACATTGCATTGGTGACAGTGTAGAAACGACTCGCAGCTTGCCAAGATGCCCTTTTGGCACTGCAACATGTCGTCTACACTGACTGTAGGGCCGGTTTGGGTCCCACTGCCCCATATCAGTTTCACCTGCAACGTCTCGTTGGCACTCATGATGCCATGCAGACACGAGCAACGTGAGCAAGGACTCTCTACAGGCTTGGCATCTCGACCATCAGACCTAGTCGTCTCGTTCGAAAGAGTATCGCTGTGTAAAAAGGGCGTGGCAGCTGGCGACGGCTGTCTACCATCAATGGTGTTGATCTGCCAGTTTACATGACCAGGGTTTACAGTCGAGGTGCTGTGTTGAAGCCCAGTGGCGGCAGTGGAGGCAGCCCCGTCGTCGGCATTGCAAGAAAGTGCAGGTGGCTCGATTAAGTAGCCTGTCGTCCAATGTTGCTTTCAACAATGTTAGTCTACGTCAAGCACAGGCGATGCCCTATTGAGCAGAGTATGGACCTACCAGCATCGGGGAGATCCGAGAATTTGAATGCCTCAGTAAAGGCACTGTCACTAGCAGCCATGCCAAAGTCAAAGCCGGATGAAGAATCACCGTCTTCTACGCTAGTGTCGTCGTGGTCGGAGCCATGGAGGGACGACAGGAAATTGGAAGCGCCATTGGTATTGGTAGTCGACGCTTCGCCAGGCACGCATCTCAGCCTTTGTTTGAGGCATTTGACGCAGCTCTCATCCTTGTATATACATCTCAACTGTGCGAACCCATTTAGCAAAGCACAATAATCATTGTGCCCAACCTACAGCACCTTTTTTTGCCTGCAATTCAGGCAAGACGGCCGCCTTTTTGTCTTTTCAAATGGTGGCTCGGAGGGCTGCACGACGTATTCCGAATTGCCCGAGCTCCCTCGACGAGCCGTCAGGGTCTGGAACATTGCGACTCGGCGTAGGAAGTCCTGGAACTGTTGCCACTGTCGATACAGATGACAGTCAATTGAAGGGCGCGTGTAGAGAAACTGTTAACCCAACTCCAGCTTTGTTCTGAGGCGCCGTAAGGCTACACTTATAGTATGTATTCTCGTATTATTTACCCCTCGCCTTTGCGGAACCGTTTCCACTCACCCGTTCTATAAGTATGAACCCGTCTCCAGACGCACATAAATCTCACAAGCCGCCAGTGGGAATACGTCTCTGGTCTGGCCGCATTATCGACAGGCAGCCACAGTGCAGCATTACCAGGACGGAGCAGAGGGAGAGCAACTGATTGCCGGGTGCGATGTCTTGGATGCATTCCTATTTGCGTGACGCCCTGGGCTGCGCTTATCGACTTTGTTTCTTACCCGGCAGCGCAGATGAGACATAGGTCCCTGGACGCCACCCGCAGCGAGCGTCGGCCGAAATATTCGTCTACCTCTTGCTGATCGGTAGAACTACATGCATGCTTCACGAAAAAGAAAAACCTCGTTGCCGATATGCTTGAGAGTGATCTCGGCGTACAGTATCTGTCGCGCTCACCTATAACTAGAACCCACTCTCTCCCCGGCGCACCTGCAAAATAGGAGTTACTTTTTCTAGACATGAATTTAGATATAAATAACAGGTTGTTAATATAACGGTTTTGCTGGAGGTAAAAGCGATAAAGAGGGGGCGGGCACGGGTAAAGTCTCAGCCACAACCTGGAGCACAACATTCGAATTGTCTCAGGCTCTTTGCCGCCAGACGGACGGCACGCGTCGCTCCCTGTCTGCTTTTATGCACACGCATCCGAATTTCTGGAGCACAGTTGCCACAAATGGCGTCGGGATTTTGCTTTCCTGGAATAGTGCATCCTGCCGTGTTGTGTGATAGTTGTGAGCCCGGGAGGTGGTCTAGTCATCTATCTAGCCACCTGTAACTTCCGAAAACTTCCATCGCCAACTTGCTACGGATAAAAGCCTTAGGCCCAACTTCCTAGAAATCCCCCGACAAAAACACAACAACAGTATCAGAGGGCAGGGTTGGGAGAATGCCTGGGTAGATAGTGGGCTGACCACTATCAGAGTCTACAAGTCTCCAAACAAACCGGGGGGTATGTTGAATAACTAGTACTCAAGGTCAGATTCATGCCAGCCAGGTGTGGATGCCACTTTTGCTGTTGTGTGACAGGATATCCGGGCCATCCTGTTTTGTGCAATCCCATTGAGCCAAGGCAGCTGCACGGAGTGGAAAGTGCCCGGTAGCCAGATAATCATCTCCAAGGCAGCAACCCAAGCTACCTGCGTCCTTCCAAGCAACCGCAACTCCTGCGAGAGACAGTTCAATGGCAATCTCAGCTGCCCCCTCGGCTCCGACAGAGGCGGACCCCCTGCTGCGCAGCCGTTCCCACGATGGTGTTGATCGCGACTTTTCGTCGCGACGGAGCGCCTCTGAAAATGAAGACTGTGGCAGCGAAGAGATGGGGCATGTACGCAAAGATCTGGGGAATCGAACATACGTGCTACTGCCGTCTGTGGCTATTGGTGTACGTTTTCAAGCGCAGCAAAAGACTTCCTTGCCCGACTCTGGAGCTAACTCCGGACTGATGTCCCAAGCTGCTTCTCGCTGCCATGGACCAGCTCATCACTCTGGCTGCCTACGCCAAGATAGGAAATGACCTGAACGCGATGAACAGCATGAGTTGGATAGCAACCTCGTGGGTGTCTCTCTTGATTTTTCTCTTCTTCTTCAATCTCAGCTTCAAGTGCAATGCTGACTGTTGATGACGTCTACAGCTACTTTCTTACCCTCACATCCTGTCAGCCTCTGTATGGCAAGCTCAGCGACATTTTCGGTCGAAAAGTGTGCCTTTTGTTTGCGTATGCCATCTTTGGCATCGGTTGTCTTGGGTGCGGCCTTTCGCAGTCTCTACTGCAGCTCTGCATTGCCCGCGGCATCGCGGGAATCGGTGGTGGCGGCATAACAGCCCTGGTATCTATTCTGATCTCAGTGACGGTTCCGCTCAGGGACCGTGGCATCTGGCAAGGATACATTGACATGATCTTTGCGACAGGAACATTAGCAGGTGCGCCGTTGGGTGGTATTCTCGCTGATTCTATCGGCTGGCGCTGGTATGTCTACCACTCGTTTTCTGGCACCAAACATCCTTATCTTTTTTTTTGTAAAATATACTAACAATGACAATGCAGGTCATTTATCGGTCAAGCTCCCATGTGCCTTCTTGCTGGCCTCGCCTTGCACTTCCTTCTCCCCATGCCCCCATCTTCACCATCCTCCCGTCATGAGCTTCTCTCCAAGATGAAGTCTATTGACTTTTCTGGCGCCCTTACTTTGGTAAGCTCTATTTTGGCACTTCTGCTGGGCCTCGACTCTGGCTCCAACGTAGGCTGGACTCAACCCCAGACCTTGATACCTCTTGCCATCACACCTCTTCTTGTGGCGGCGTTTATTTACAATGAGGTCCACGTAGCCTCATATCCCTTTGCTCCAGGTCACATCATCTTCAACCCCAGCATGTTTGCATGCTACATGGCCAACTTCTTTGGAGTCGCCAGCCAAATGGGTGCCTTCTTCTTCCTGCCCCTATTCTTTCAGGCAGTCCAAGGCTTCAGCGCCGCCTTGAGCGGCACATTACTTATGCAAGGCATGGCATTTGGCGTGCTGTCATCGATCGGTAGTGGTTGGGTGATTAAAAAGACGGGAAAGTTTTACTGGATTAACGTGTCAGCCTTTGGCCTTGCGTTCCTGTCAACTCCCCTGCTGGCTTTGGGATTTTGGAGAAAAAGTGTCGTCCTCCAAGTCCTCGCCTTCATCGCATCCTCAATTGGCGTATACGCTGGTGAGTCATTCCGCAGATGGCCAAGAAGACAGTATAAAACAGTCACTAATAGTGGCGCACAGGTATCAGCACAGTTTTGATTGCGCTGCTAGCGAATACCACGATGGCTGATACGGCCGTCACAGTAGCCTGTTCTTACATGTTCCGCTCGCTTGGGGCCAGCGTCGGCGTCAGTACGTCCTCGGCCTTGTTGCAATATGTTTTGCGAACTGAGCTTGGGCACCGACTGTCTCATGACAAAGGCCTCGTAGACGAGATAGGGCAGCGTGTTCGACAAAATATTGATTACATCAAGGAGCTTCCGCCGATTGTAGCCGCCATAGTGCGCTCCAGTTACCAGCATGCGAGCGTCATCGCTCTGGCGCCGCCCGTTCTTTGCGGTCTACTGGCATTCATCTTCACATTTTGGGTGCGTGAGGCTGCTCTGCGTAATAAATAAGAAGCAAAATTTAGTTTCTAGGCCTCTTCTGAATGGTTGTCGCTGCAATAAAGACATGTATGATATCTCAAGTGCCCTACACCGACTGCTGATACTAGTCTTGTCACGTCGTTAGCATCTACGTTATCGAGCTTCGCATTGTTTCATATAGTCAATTATTCAGGGTGATATGCGAGTCTGCGTGCAAAAGGAATCGTCTGTCAGAGCTTGGGTACCTGAGCTACACCGTCAATACTACATTCATGAGTTACTTCTTTTTTTTTCTTTTTTTCTATTTTATTACTATTAGCGTTTAAATCTCCAATGTATTTTATGTTTTCTTTACTTTTGTATCTGCCCTATATATTATAGCCGCTGCGTTTTGACTGACGCAGAAGGACGGCGACTAGTCCGCAGCCCCTGATAGGGGACAGCCTTGTAACAAGGACAGCTCTGTGAGGACATTACAAGGTTGTCTGTTCCCTATCAGGGGCTGCGGACTAGTTAGTCGCTGTCCTCCCTAAGGGCTGGCAGCGCAAGTCCATCCTCCACCATTACACTGCCTTATACCTACCTAATCTTCTTTACTAACAAGCGACGTTTAATTTTCCATAGAACACAAGTCATTGCCCTCGTCCGCACCTTTCATCATCAAGTGGAACTTGATGAGCGGCGAGGCAGTCTCTGCTGGCTCTGGCCTAGATTAATAAACCTTATGTACTCTATAGTTGTTATGCCATAGTGCTATGTGGGATGATGATGTATTGTGGAGGTTGTGTGGGCTCTAGAGAGGTCTCATGTACCCTACACTATAATAGTGGCCAAACTGCTGGAGCATGGCCCCCATTTCCGCCGGCCGAGTCAAGCATCATGAGCTGCTCGATTCTGTCTCCAGTATGCTGGTCATTCCAGTCGTTGTATTCAAGTCACCCCCTGTAGTAGAAAGTCTAATGAAGCAAGTACTCGTGCCGTGCCGGGTCAGCATTCGAGAGCCGTGGTTACCAAAAACCACTGCCTCGTGAATAGCCAACGCAACAAAATCCCACCAACGAAATCTTCAGTTTCTCCCCATTCCATGATGTCAACGAATGACGCAGGGCTGACCATTTTCTCCCTCGTTCAGTAGGACCCTCTTTCTCTTTGTAATACGAGCTGACGGAGACGAGTTCATCGGCCCTATCCACCTCTGCGTAGCGGCTCAGCTGCAAAGAGCGGGAATGACGACAGAGCGCCCACAAGACTCCCGGAAACTCGTATCGCCAAGGGTATCGCTTGCGGCGTCCCCCACTGAGGCGCCTCCAACTACGATCGCCCGGCATGGGTCAACAGAGTGTATTGCCACCAATGGATGGCCGTGGACGGTTCGCAGCGACATGATGGATGACCAAGATGTTGGCCGGGCCGCTTCTTGGAGTTGACGGGTCGAATCTAAAAGCCATTTTTAGACGAGGACAAATTCCCGACCGTGAACTATAAAGTCGCTGGACCGTCAGTTGTAAAAACTCCCTTCTAAATCATCATCAACAGCTTCGTCGTCTCAACCACCCTCAATCCCAATCTCACAACTCTTCACCATCTACTCCCTCACACAACCACAACAACTACCACAGTCATCACAACATGATTGCTCCCATTGCCGCTCTTGGCCTCGCCGGCCTCGCCGCCGCGGCGCCCACCACCGGTCCTCTGTACCCCGCAACGTCCAGCTCCAACGGCTTCAACCTGGTGCTCAATGTGACGGACCCCAGCAAGGACCTCAGCCCGCCCGTGCACGGCACCTTTGTCACGTCGATCCACGTCGGTCCGGCCTACAACTACGTCGGCCAGTCGGCCACGGCTGCCGCCGCGCGCCTGTTCTACGTCAACGGCACCGCCACCGAGGTGCGCTACGGCAGCTCCGACACAGTCTCCGACGGCGGCACACCTCCCTTTCCCGAGGTGCTGTCCCTCGTCCAGGACAAGGCTTCCGAGACGCTGTCGACGCTCTGGCTCAACGCAGGCAACGGCGGTGATGCAAACTACCGCACCGGCCTCGCAGGCTTCCCCAACCCGATCCCGGCGCTGTACCCATCCACGTACGTCGCCTGCCGCGAGGCCCTGGCGTACTATGGCGGCAAGGAATTTGTCATCATCAAGCAGGCCCAGACGACCGTCGGCGAGGACGGCACCATTGACTACAACATTCCCGAGGGCTGTGCGCCGCTGAGCCTGCTGCCGCAGTGCGCCAAGCTCAATGACCTTCCTGCCGGCTCGCTGTCCAGCCACGAGTACGCTGCGAACACGCGCTGCTACGAGAACGTCAACTCGATTGACTGGCCCAAGTACCACGCCTACTAAGCAACCCCGGCCGGAGTAGTTTACTGTATGAGGAAATAGGATGGGGGTTTTTGTATGCAGTGTTCACCTCGCCGAGGTAGTCGATCCTTTATATTGCATAGCATGAAGCGCTTTTTATTACTATTACTGCAAGTTTTTATTTAATATAATATTATTGATGCATTTTGAGCGCGGATTTCTTTCAACTTAGTGCGACAAAAAGTCAAATTGACGGCAATGACACACCAACACATTACCATTATCTTAGTCTTCGGAGCTGAGTGTGATCAAACTGTTCTTCACCTGGCCCTTTGCATAGTCCAGAGAAAACAGACTTGATGACGAGTGAGTGCAGCTCGGCGCACCCGGCCCTGTAGTTATATATTAAAAGGCTCTCCTTGTTCATCCAAACAAAATTTTTACATTTGGCGCAGAATTGATACGTGCCATTGACGCTCCCTGGTGCCGTTCCCACACTGCAGAACGTGGCTGAGATGCACGCCACACCGAATCTCGCGGCACATGCTAGCCGCGACGATGCAAACGCCAACAGCGCAACGCCACTACACCTTCCGCATCTCGGCCCTGAGCTGGCCAGCTCCAAGAAGGCAGTCTCGGACTCGGAGAGCCGAGAGCAAAAAGTGCTAGCACTCGTCCGACAATTCTCCAGCCGCAGCGCGCGCTCCACCGATGGGCTGAACCCCTGTGCGGCCCTGCCTGGCTCGCGTCTCGACCCCAACGGCGACAACTTTGAAGCCCACGCCCGGTGCCAGGCCCTGCTGCTGATGCTTACCGAGTACGCCAAGGCACGCTCTCTACGTATAGCGCGCGTGGCTTCCACCGATCCGAATGCTCACGTCTTGCACTGGAACGACGTTTGCTATGATGCCAAAATCGGCAAGGAGAACCGCAGGGTCAGCGACGCCGAAATTACCAATCGACGCAATCGAGCCCATGGAACCGGTGGTGCTGATTACTTCCCCGGTATCGATTGTTTCAAGGAATCCACTGAGATGTACGATGCCAATTGCTTCAGCCACAGCGACAGCAGCAGCATCGCTACCAGCGTGGATAGCCTCAACGATAGCAACAGGGACAACGTTGACCGCATCCATGTTGTCGACAGCGCCGAGCAATGGGCGGAGCCTCGTAAATCCGCGACGAATTTATCTGATGCCGAAAGCCTCAAGGCCATGGCCGTTGATCGAAACCTGCCCGACCTGGACGACAGTGTACGTTGAATCTGCATCTGCCTCGACCATTGGGTAGCGTAATGGCAACTAATACTTGTATAGGTCATTCGGCAACCGTACCACTACCTAAGGTCACTCCCATCAAAGGGCATTCGTGATCAGGCGATTGATGCACTCAACAAATGGCTCGCTGTCCCCGCCCGATCCACAGCCAGGATCAAGAGCATCATTCAAATGTTGCATGGCGCGTCTCTCATGTAAGTAGGCACTTTTCACCAGCCATTTCCAAGAACTCACCAGCTGATACGGCTCAGGCTCGATGACATGCAAGACGGCTCTCCGCTCCGTCGCGGCCAGCCGTCCACCCACAGCATCTACGGCATGGCGCAGACCATCAACAGCGCGACCTACCAGTACATTCAAGCCACCACTGTCGCCTCTCAGCTCTGCAATCCCGCTTGTCTCAGAATCTCCCTCGACGAGATGCAGCAGCTCCACGTCGGGCAGAGCTACGACCTGCACTGGATGGAAACGACACGCTGCCCCTCGGTGCCCGAGTACCTACGAATGGTGGACAAGAAGACGGGCGGCATGTTCTGCCTGCTGACTAGACTGATGCTGGCCGAGAGCCCGACCAGGACGCACATAACCGAGGCGGATCTGAGCCGCTTCAGCTGTCTGATTGGACGCTTCTTCCAGATACGGGACGACTACCAGAACCTGACCTCGGCCGACTATGCCCAGCAAAAGGGATTCGCGGAGGACTTGGATAAGGGCAAGTACTCGTTTACACTCATTCATTGTATCCAGACGCTCGCTTCGCACGGCACGTTTGCGCCCGACGCCATGCATCTCAATGCTCTGCTCATGAAGCGGAGGGTCGAGGGGAAATTGAGCATCGAGATGAAGCGAGAGATTTTTGCCCTGATGAACAAAACGAAGAGCCTGGATCGCACGCTCAGTCTGCTGAGAAGGTTGTTTGGTGAGCTGGAAAGAGAAGTCGGTATTTTGGAGGAGAGCTTTGGCCGAGAGAACCCTTCCCTCCGAGTCATGCTGGAGATGATGAAGGTATAGATGCCTGTTGATCACTTTGTTCCGATTTGTCAAGTTGGTTTATAGAGCAGTTCCTGGGCGCTTAGATGAGATTTCCTATTTCTATGTATCGTGTATTATCCTTATTTTTGTCTTTCCAGAGTTCTCGTTCGTGAGCCGAGTCAATAAACGTGCATTCTCGTCGACTTGGAAGCGGGTGTTCCTGGTCCAACAGGGATGGAGAGGTATGAGTAGGACGACGGAGGAGGATGCCGAGGAAAAGGTCATCCAGCATGCAGAGTCTGCCTGTGCCAGGTGTACGGCAAGCTGAGAGACGTGTACGACAGCAGGTGCAGGCTCATCGCGCTCCAACGGCAAAGACGTGTGTGCACATACTATCTCTACGCGTCATCTGCGGCGTGTTTCGTCGCTCATATATATAATGCTCGAAAATACCGGCGATTCCACTCTAGGGCAGCCATGTCATCCCACAAGGTAGATACCTTGTAGCCATATTCCTCAGCAGGATGATATTAACGTTCATGATGGCAAAACGCTTGCGATGAAAACTTCAAACCTCCAACCACAGATCTGTATCGTCTCCTCTCACGTTTCGCCACCATTCACTCTGGCGCACAAGCTCCCCTTCCTCGCCCCCGAGAAGCGCCCAGTACTTGCGCAAGAACCACGTCCTGGCCTCCCAACTTCTGCTCTCCCAGGGTGTGCCCGCCGAGACATGACCGTCGGCCGAGCCCGCTGTGCTCTTCTTCGCCGTGCCGCCCCAGAAGATCAAGCCATCAATCAAGTCGTGGTAAAACTCTGTGAGGTCAATGGCCTCGCCGCTGTTGATGACATTGCGCCGGAGCGTCGGAAACGGCAAGACGTCGATAAACGCCACGTGCTGGCAAATGATTTGCTCTCGGACCGGGCGCATGTCCGGCTTGAGCGACTTGAAGATGACCTGCACCGTCTTGACCACGGCGTCGGCGCAGGTGCCGTTGGCAATCTCGCCCGTGGGCCGGAAAAAGGGCGACATGGCCTTGGCGACGCAAAGCATGTCCTTTGTCATGCCGACGTGCAGGCAGAGCGACGCCATGGCCTCGACGATGCATACGCGCTCCACACGGTGCGTGTGACCGTAGCGGTCCTCTGAACGCCGTACTGCGAGTAACACTACGTCATCCCCGCTGAGCCAAGAACCCTGAGTCCCTGAAGCCCCTGAGCCCCAAACAGGTACCTACCAGGTCCCTACCGAGGTACCTGAATAGGTACCTGAATAGGGTAGTACATACCCCTCCGACCTTAGTACTGGCCAAGGTACCATAATTTGTACCTACAAGGGTGTTACCACCCACTGTACCTTAATAAAAGCTGGGGGATCTGCTGCGATAAGGGCGCCCTGTTTTGGGGACGTCTTACCTAATACAGTGGTTGAGTTGGGTGGGCCTCCTCTCACCTTTGGCTTCCATCCGGGAAACTGTTCCCAGCCGCTTCTTCATCCTGCCCCCCTCTCCTCTCCGACTTTGCCATTTCTACCACAAAGCCTTCCCGTCAGCCTGGCTTCTTTTCAACTTCCCCTTTACCCTCCCACAACCGACACCATGACGCGCCGCTCGCCTTCATCCGTCGTCGATTCCTATGCGTCGCTGCCTATTCGCTCCACCACGTCTCCCTCTCCCTCGCCCATCGTCCCCTGGCCTTCAGTCCTCCCCAAGTACGACACGTGTCCGACGCCTTATGATCCCAATGTCGTCCGCGACGGTCCCATAACCGCCATCGTTACCAACCCCGACCTGCCCCGCACCATATCCAGGGCGTCCCAGAGCTTCCTTCTCGCCGACATGGACGGCCGCAGCGTGAGGGACAACCGCGCCTGCGCCGCCTGCATCGCCCAGCTGGCGCCAAAAGAAACGAGCCAGATCAACTGGCACCTCGACAGCGACGATGACTGCCGTCTCTGCCAGGTCGCTGCTCTCAAGCCCGAGGCCTTTACCAAGCCCTTCTGCGATTTCCTGACCGAGAACCCGACCATCTTCCACACCGTCGAATACTGCAAGACCAAGCTCCGCAGCGCCGAATACCAAGAAGTGAGCTAACCCCCACGCCCCCCTCTGTCTGCTCGTACTAAACATTTCTCTGTAGCTCCCTTCCCGCGAGTCTTGGAACGGCAGGATTCACGCCGGCGGCAAGTACTTTGTCTCCCGCAACGGAAGCTCCATCATCGCCTTTGCCGTCGGCCGTGGCTACAAGACGGGCCAGGCACCAGGCTTCGCCATGGTCGGTGGTCACATTGACGCCCTCACCGCGCGCCTCAAGCCCGTCAGCACCAAGCCCAACAAGGCCGGCTTCCTCCAGCTCGGCGTCGCCCCCTACGCCGGCGCCCTTAACGAGACCTGGTGGGACCGTGACCTCGCAATTGGCGGCCGCGTCATTGTCCGCGACACCAAGACGGGCAAGACAACCTCGCGCCTTGTCCGCCTCGACTGGCCCATTGCCAAGATCCCCACGCTCGCTCCCCACTTTGGTGTCGGCATCATGGGCCAGAAAAACAAGGAGACACAGGCCGTGCCTGTTCTCGGCTTAGAGAGCACTGGCGATAATGCTGACACGGAGCGCCTAGGCCCCGAGGGCGCCTTTGTCAACACCCAGCCCCCGAAGCTCGTCAAGCTCATCTCCAAGGAGCTCGGCATCACCTCATACAAGTCCATTGTCAACTGGGAGCTCGAGCTCTACGACGCGCAGCCCGCCCAGACCATCGGCCTCGACCGCGACCTGATTTCGGCCGGCCGCATCGATGACAAGCTCTGCTCATGGGGAGCCCTCATGGGCCTCCTCGCCACAGAGGACAGAGAGGACGAGACCTACGTCAAGCTGATAGCCCTGTTTGACGACGAAGAGATTGGCTCTAAGCTGCGCCAGGGCGCCGGCGGCACGTTCCTCCCCTCAGTCATCGAGCGTGCCGTCGAGGCCCTCAACCCGGAAACGTACGGCCCCGGCCTCCAGGGCCAGGTCTACGCCAAGTCTTTTCTCTTGTCCGCCGACGTCTCCCACGCCGGTAATCCCAACTTCCTCGGCGAGTACCTCCCCGACCACACGCCCCAGCTCAACGTCGGCATCGTCGTGGTCGGCGACTCCAACGGCCACATGACCACCGACGCCGTCTCCACCGCCGTCCTCGCCCGCGTCGCCGAGCTCATTGGCCACCGCCTCCAGCCCTTTCAGATCCGCAACGACTCCCGCTCCGGCGGCACCATTGGACCCATGCTCTCCAGCCTTATGGGCTGCAAGGCCGCCGACGCTGGCATGCCCCAGCTCAGCATGCACTCGGTCCGGGCCACCACCGGCTCCCTCGACCCCGGGCTCGGCGTCCAGTTCTTCAAGGGCTTCCTCGACAACTGGGAAAAGGTGGACAATGAGTGGGAGCACTGAATGGTGTTGTATTCGCTCCGAATTGCACGTTAACACTTTTTTTTTTCTGCGCTTGATTTGAATATACCAGAAATGGCGACTAGACACATATAGAGAAAGATGCGGCGTAGTCGGTGTATAGAAGATGTAGAACTAGATTTATCATAAGAAGCTTTGCGCGTTTTTATCCTTGTCTCATTCTCAACCATTCACAGTGGTCAAGTTGGTATGCAGCGATTTCATAAGATGAAGAGAAACCAAGACATCATGTTCGTAATGCTATACAAGTCATGTATGTTTATTGCTTCAAGTAGCTTAGAGTCCTGAGGAGAACCCAGGTACCATGATGCGCAACTCCTGTCAATAAAGAAACACCCCAAGCTATCCCAGAAAGGTAAGAAAAAAAGAAGACAAGACGACATGCGCTCTCTCTAAAGACCGTCTCCCCAGCAGCAAAATTTATGCTTCTTGCCTATACCTCCTCCTCCATAATGGCGCCGCCGTCCCCTCTGCGCATCAGTCGCGCGCTTTCTCGGAGCATCATCGCACGCTCATCTGGCGACTCGTCGTCGCTGTCATCGTCATCCTCGCCATCGTCACTCTCCACAGCCGCGACACCATCCGCGTCGGGGTGGCCGTCGCCGTCGCGCTTCTTCTTCTTTCGCTTTTTCTCGAAATCCTGCGTGTGCGCGTCCGCGAGCATCTTGGAAAAAGTGCGCGCCGAGTCGGTGCGGCGCCGAAACAGGCCGCCACTCTGGGACGTGCTCGCAACGGCGGTGGCGCTCGTAGCCGTGGAAAAGGCGCCGGCACCGCCGCCGGTGGGTGCAGTGGTGGCCGATGAAGCATGTCGCTGCGGCCCTACGGTCTGTGTGTGCGCGGCGCTGGGGGCGCTGGGCTCGAGGGGCGTCGTGGTGGACGCCGCAGACGGTCCGGTGCCGGCAGAGGAGGAAGAGTGGGTGGCTTCGGCGCGTTTGAGCGCCGCGGCCGTGTCGACGTCGCCTGGCTGCTGCTGCTGCTGCTTGCCGTCGGGGTCAATCATGGGCGATGACCCGGCGCTGGGTGTGTTCTGCGTAATTAGCGGCTCGATGCGGTACGGCAGCGGGACGTCGCGCGAGGCCTTGTATTGGCCGACGTTGGCGCAGTGCTCATTTTCGACGCGGAATAGCGCCCACATGCCACGCCGCGTCACCTCCAGGAGCGCGACGCCGAAGGAAAAGATGGTTGAGTGGTTCGCGTCCTTGGGCAGGACCACGTACAGGATCCAGCTGAAGCGGAGGACGGGGTCGACGGTCATAATGAAGTAGTAGGGCCACTTAGACTTGAGGGCCAGGATGTCGCGCAGCCAAAAGTGGCGCGAATGGAACTGGAGCAGAGAGAAATCCATAAAGAGATCCCAGATGGCTACGGAATGTTAGAATCATGCGGAGTGTGGCAGCGATGGATATGGTACTTACAGCAGTAAATGCTGTTTACAACGGAGAAGAAGATGAACAGCCCCATGTTGGTATTGGTGCGGTGTATGCGGAAATTCGACAGCAGCACATTGGACAAGATTGTCATGGAATACTTGCCGCCGTTGACGAGATGCGGAAACACGTTGCGCGTGTCCTTGTAACGGCGGAGACACTGAAAGAAGCGCCAGAGCGCTGGCAGCGTCGTCAGGAAGCCGAGCAGCCGCGAGTGGTTCGAGTTGCACTGCGCGGGATTCTCCCAGTTATTGGTGTACAGGCAAAAGAAGAGCTCGACGTTGGCCATACAGTACGTCAGGGAGCAGTACATGTCGCCGAGGAAAAAGTCGCGAAACTCGACGGGGTAGATGCCCGCGAGCAGCAAGCGCCAGTGCGAGTACGCAAACCACCGACGGCTCTTGTGCGCGAGCAGCGGCAGCGGCAAGAAGATGACGAGCGCTGTGAGCGCAATCAACACGACGGGGAAATACAGATACAGACTCTCAGCGCCGTACCGGCTAAAATTGGCCCACATAACGACGCCAAAGATGAGCAAGAAGAAGCTGGGAAACTCGGCCATGCGGCGCCAGTCGATGCGGGAGCGTGGGTCGAGCTCAAAGATGAAGGGGTAGTTGACCTTGCATCTGGTCCAGACGTAGCAGTTGAGGCAGAAAAAGGCAAAGAGCAGCAGCATGAGAAAGTAGCCGGCGTAAATCTGCAAGAGATAGCTTGTGTGCAGCCGCCGCCGTGGGTCGTCATCGTACAGGAGCTGCACGCCGTAGACGAGCCCCTGCACGGAAAAGACGATGCCGGTGCCGATGAGGAAGCCGTTGAGAAAGGAGCTACCCGACTCGTCGCTCGTCTTGTGAGCGAGGCTGCGAAGCTTGCCGGCGGCGAGCTTGTGGTTGCCGCGCTCAAAGTAGCGTGCGTACAGGTCCTCGACGGCCTTGATGTGACCCTCGAGCAGGTCGCTGTTGACGAACCACGCCTTGTTGACTTTTTCGTTGACGTAGCGCAGCGGCGGCCGCGCGTGGACGGCCTTGTCAAATTTCTTGTTGATCTTGCGGAACGCGGTCCGGTTGAGGAGCGCGTACGACTTGAGCAGCTCCAGGCCGCGGTAAAACTCTTGCAGTGCCAGCTTGAGCTTGCGCTTGGCGGTGCGGTACGAGACGTCGTGCTCGTCGGGCCGGCGGATGTAGTCGCGCTGCCCTTCGCCGGGCCCGGCAGGCGGCCGCACGCGGCCGCTCATGTACGGCGTGTTGGGCATGGTGCGTAGCGCGTTTGAGTTGGGCCCCGGCGGGAACAGCTTCGTCTTGATGGAGGGCATCCAGTGGTGTCCGCTGCGGTCCGTTCCGCTGTCCGAGTCGTTGCCGTACAGCGCCAGGTGTTCATGCGTCGGCGCATTGGTCGGGGCAGGGACAATTTCTTGTAGTCGGCGGTTGCGCATCTCGTGGAGCTGCTCCCGCAGCAGCTCTAGTCGTTTGCCCGCCTGCTCCTCTTTGAGTTTGTAAAAGGACTCGACTTTATCGAGCTCCGAATCCATAAACTCATAGAAATCATGCTCCCTCTCCCGCACCAGGTCGAACGGCTCCATGCCGAGTGTCGTTGCCGAGGCATTCCGTGTCAGTGTGGGCGAGTAGGAAAATATGCGCCGCAATGGTGAAGGCTGATGCTGATCGGCGGTGCTACCGCGACGCTTGTGTTTATTCCAGCTCGAACTCAAAGAGCCATTGGACTGCGAGACTGGCAGGATGGTACTCGCGTTCCGTCTCTCAGCCGATGGCGGCGTTTTCGGATTGTGCGCCCAATCGCGGGTTCGCACGGTGGCGTCGGGCGACGATGCATCCGGCGCGGGGCGCATAGCCGGTGCCGGCAGCTCAAATTCGTCACTGTGGCTCCGTTGTGCCAACGGGCTCGGGTTGGGCGGCGTCGGCACGAAGCTTCCATATTGCAAAGTGGTGTCGGGACCCCGGTTCAGGGCATCGTCCTCGCCTCCCTTGCCGCTCCGGACCGGCACAGCGCGCGCCGGGGACGGCCGCACCTCGTACGGCGTGCCCGAGGTGTAGGCGGGCGGGCGGCACGACGATGTAGGTCCTGACAGAAGAGAGTCTCGGTATTCGCGGTCGTTGAAGGTCGTTCGCAAGGTCGGCTGGGTGTTGCTGTTAGGCGGTTGTCCGAACAGAGACGCCCCTCGGCTGCCGCGCAGCTTTGGCGTGGTGCCATTGGCTCTGTTGACGGCGCGGGCCACGGCCTTGACGTACTTTTTGCCCGCCTTGTAGTTGAGATATTTGATGCGCCATTCTAGAGGGAAAAAAGTGAGCAATTGCATGAACAATTTTGATCCGGTCATGAACGGCCCCACGCCTCTTAGGAAAGCACAAACCTGGAACAGCATCTCTCTCCAGCTCTTTGGCGAACTTCATCGCCGCGTAGCGAGAGAGGACAAACGAGGCCCTTCCAAAACCAGCAGCGGCGCACGAGACCTTTTTCCCTTATCAAGCGGAAGCAACAGCGGCCTAGACCAGCCGTCGAGGTCCAATCTGACGGGAAAGCGGTAGCTTTTGTTACAAAGGTCGTCTGGGTCGGCCAGCCGCCACCGTGAGGTCTGAAAATTCCGCCCGAGCTTGGAGTGTGCCCATTCGAAGATTGGCGGTACGGCAGGCCACGGACTGGTATGTCAGGGTCTGAGGCTCGGACGGTAAGGGACCTCTCAGAGGCGCGCAACGAGCAACGTGCTCGAGAATGTCTCTGGCCTTCTACCGCTGCACCGCTGGCTAGTATGGTAGGGAGCCCCAGTCGAGATGGTGGCGGAGGAAAAAAATGACGGATGAGGAGACGGGATGCTGGAGAAGGAAGAAAAATATACTCGGTACAGTGTTGAAGATGGTGGGCGTTTGGTGCAGTGCAGATCCACTAGTAAACCTGGTTGCGAACAAGGGTGCCACTTGTGAACCGAGTCCGGTGGCGGATAGGATACAACGTCCCTCCTTCTGAGCAACAAAAGGACACATCCAAGTCACCCTATACATTGTATTCCAGCTGTTTTCTAGCCGCAAGACTCCCTCACTTCTTTTGTTCTTTCAAGAAAAACCCCCGTCTCGCCTCATCCAGGCGTCCAGCCAGCTCCCCTAGATTCCGGAGTTGTCCTAGGCTCAAGACATTGTCTTAGACCTAGCATGACGTCAAAACACCAAAACTACTACTATCTAGCCTATCGAGCTACCTGTTCAAATGCTCGTTGCCACTGGTGAGGAATCCTCCGACAACGCGTGGTCAGGTACACCGGTTTCTCCTTCCTGGGCCAGTAATAATAAGGAAACTGTAAATTGTAGGCGCAGAAAGCATCCAAATCCCACCCCAGCTCACCAAAACAGGACGTATTACCATTAGCTGTGATGCTTACGAGTGACTGACGTGCAGCCTTGTTATAACTTGGCCCAGACAAAGGGATGAACGAGATCTACGGTGCATGAGCATGCTGCGCCATCCCCGAAGTGCATCTCTATTAGCATTCTCTCTTTCTTCTTCTTCCTACTGTGGTCGTCACACGGAGCCTCGCTTGCACCACCATTCTGCGACGACGCCACCACCCCGATGTGTACGCCTATGCTCGCGTGCCCATACCACCATCGTCCCATGATTCGCTGCTGTGAAACCCCGTGGTTCATGGTTCCTGTACTTGAGAATTCCTCAGGGGTTTTCATCCCTATCATTGACGCTACGCGATGCCTAATCGGTCGGTACGCCCCCCCAGATAGGGATTCCGACCAGAATCTTGTCATTCTTTATTTTCGACCACTGCCTATATCTTCGAGATGACCCTCAAATAAGATGGTTAATTAACTTGTGAAGCCACGTCGGCTACACAACTGCCCCTATGCAGCAACACAGGCCAAGTCTCTCAACCACTTCTAGCCACGCCCGCCAAACTGGGTATAGCCGAGGAGTGCTCACACAGGCCTGCCACGAGCACTCTTCTGAAACTTTGAACAGGGAGGCTCACAAGAAGCATCACCATTACGTGTTGTGCTGCTACTAGGCAATATTGCCTCGTCCAATATGGGCCGAATAGACCAGGCAGGCAATTCGCACCGTTGTTGCTACGGTCTGTTTCGGGGCCGATGAAGATATTGGTGAGTTCGTCCGAGTTTTCTAATCATATCGTCATATAGGCGGCATTATAAACGCTCAAATACTCGGGAGGACCAATGAACTCACGCTCAGAGTGGGTTACTTTGCTAAAATGACTAGTAAGCTGATCACTAGAGCACCCAGACAAAGTCTGCCAGATGTACAAAGTCTGTTATCATTTTTTCTTGTCCAAGTCTTTACTATCTCCGTCAAAGTCATGTCCCAGAGTCATGCGCGCACGGAATCTCGTCGGCTTCTACCTCCTTAGACTCGCTGATGCCGACACCAACAGCCGGGACGGTGCCTTCCAAATCCTCTACAAAAGCTACTTCAGCTCCATATTGGCCTTTATTAGCGCTGTCAGCAACCTTTACTCAATCCCACTAGTTGGCGGCATCTCCTTCACTTGCCTCCAAGCCCCAAAGTCACCTGCCAAATCCGCGTAAATTTCTCCGACCACAGCTCTTCTCTAATTCACCGCCAAGGTGCCGAAAGAGGCGCAACGGACAAATCTTTGAAGGGCGAACCCAATCAAGGGGAGCCACTAGCTGCCCACGTTGCGGCCCTGGCCGCCATTGATTATAACTAGCGCATGTGCGTAGCTAGGTCCTTGCTTACAGGTTGTTCTGATTCTGGGGCCGAGGACAAACTAAAGAGAGTGACATGATGTAGATATAATTGCGCCAATCAACGACTAGAGCTATTCCACGAATGGCTCTTTTGCTGTCGCCAACTCTGCCTCTGCAGATGTTCAAGGCAACTGAAGAGTAAACGAGATTCGGGCGTCAATTTGCAAGTTAGAAGATCAAGATATCTATTCTCAGCATTATTCAATTCGTTGTAACCCCTTTATCCTGCGTCCACCTGCTCGGAACGTAGTTGGCTAGTCGCTTCTAACAAGCGGGACGATGAAAGCCTGGCTCCGGATTTCCAAAATCGGTCAAAGGCATAAACATAGACTTGAGACTAGAAATGAATTCTTCCAGGCACGCTTCCACCTCGGCATCTCCTGCACTCCACGTCCATCCTCTTCGGGATGGCGCGTTGCTGCGACGCTGTGACGCTGCACCAATTGGTCCCCCAGTTCGTCGTCTGACGCTGTTGCAAAGGGGGAGGTCAGCCAGCTCCGGATCTTTGTCCATCAATCAAATCACTTCCATGCTGCTTTTTGGGGAATTGTGGCATCCCGACTGGTGCGATTGACAGTGCCGGGACGGGGATGCCGTTGAGTGCTTGTAGATGCCGGCTCGCCGCTCCGGCCCTAGACATCGTCGAGGCCAGACCAGGAAGGACAGTTTCCGTCTTGTCATGGCATGTAAGCTTATACAAATTAGTCGTGGAGATGCGTTCGGCGTTTTACTTCTGCGACGACTATATCTAGAGGCTGCTTTCCCTCATTATTCCAAGAGTCGAGCCGACAGTATTATCACAGCTTCTCCTTCCCTTCTCTCCCCCTTGCTGCACATAACAGACTACATTCGTCTGCCACTCCTATACAATCAGTATGATTGCCAAGACTGCCATCTCCGCCCTCCTAGCCAGCGCCGCCATGGCGATGCCGGCGACCCCCACGACGCCCGAGGCCGGCTTCTCCGTCGGCGCCCTCGACAGCCGCCAGCTCAATGGCAAGGTCACCAACAGCGCCATTGCCAACTTCAACGCCGATAACACCAACGACGGCATCGGCGCCGGCAAGGACGAGTACCACATGTACTACGGCAACGGCGGCACGGCCGCTGGCTGGCCGGACCGCAACCGCTGGGTGTCCTTTGTCGACATGTACGTGCGCCCCGACACCCAAATCAAACACACTGTTATCCGGTTTTCTAACTAGCGCAGGTTCAACAACTACAAGAACCAAATGTTTAGCTCGTGCGGCGGACAGGGCCAGGCCAACGACTCTGGTCCCGAAGTGGTACGCCCGTTCCTGACTTACACGAGCCGAACCTTGGAACTAACATGAGAACACTGTCAGGGCGCCATCTATGACGGCATCCAAAAGGCGGCCAAGGCATCAGGTGTCGACCACCGCTTCATCCTGGCCATCATCATGCAGGAGTCGGGCGGCTGCGTGCGCGTCAAGACGACTAACTACGGGGTGCGCAACCCCGGCCTGATGCAGGACCACGACGGGCAGGCGACGTGCAACGAGAACGGCAACGTGCAGAACCCGTGCCCATCGGGTACCATCTACCAGATGATCTCCGAGGGTACTGCCGGCACCTCCAAGGGTGAGGGCCTCGCCCAGACGCTCAACCGCCAGGGCCACAGCGACGTGTCGGCCTTTTACCGCGCGGCGCGCCTCTACAACTCGGGCTCCATCTCCAAGACGGGCAACCTCCAGGACGGCATCGCCACCCACTGCTATTCGGCGGACATTGCCAAGTAAGTTTGACACGGAATATGAGAGGGTTGTTGGTGCGTGGGCTGAGCTAATGTTCTTCTTCTTTGTAGCCGGCTTACTGGTTGGGTCAACGCCCCGTCTCAGTGCAAGTGCGACGACAATCCCAGTAGCTGTGGCATCACGACCAACTAAACGAGAATTTCGGGAGACTTGCTGCAGGATATATGGATGAAAGCTTGCGTGCGGGATGCACAAGCGACTCTTATACTTCTGATTGTACAAACTTAGATTTACCGTTCTTAAGGCGATTGTCGTAAGCCATTCTAGTACAATTTTGCGGAAAAATTACACAGTATTCATTTTTAAATGCCAGTTACAAGTACTTTTCACTCATAGTACTTCCGTGGTTATCTTACATCTTTTTGGCGCAAGGGATTTCCTCCATTTCCAGCCTTCGTTACGGGGTGTAGGGTAGAGCAGCTTTATTGTCCGGTCCACTGGTCTTTTCGCCTCGAGGGCCATGGGTGTGGTTTCACCTGGTCTCGAATGAAATAGAGGCCATTTTCTGGTTTCCTATTGGATTTCTCCGTGGCTCAACGTGGCAGACAAACGGTAAGGCTCACATAGGACGGCTCAACGAGCAAAATTGGAACCTGAAGCGAGACGACTAGCCGCACGACCAGATACACCAGCCCGACTATACAAACCAGAATATGCACGAAACCAAATTTCATCATTATTTCTTCATACTTGAAAGCTAATAATGCTGCAGTGCAACGCAGCAGAAGGGCCATGCAGACAGCCGGGCGAGATTCTCCTACCCATACAAAGAACAGGATACGCTCTCGCATGGAATTTCACATGCGAATCGTGGGTTGCAGTTCCTGCAACCCTCTCCATATTTGATAGTGAGAGAGGTGTGTGTAGCGTGTGCGGCCGGAGCCGACGGCAGTTGGGAGAGGTGGTGAGGCGGCCAAAAGCGGCTGCTGAACCGCCGCTGTAACACGCAAGTACATTATGGAATCGAAAAGGTTTGTCATGCGCACGCGTTGCTATCAGAGGGCTGATTCGTTATCGGTCGGCCAATTCAGCCTGCCTTGTGGCGCACTAGATATCCATTTACATGGCTTATGATTTTTTGTGGAAAGATGTGCGGAGAGGAATAGTATAATGCACATGCGGAGACGACAGTCGATTGGAAAGCGAGTATGGCACGGTGTATGACGAGACGACCCGTCAGGTCGGGCATTTGGCTGCAAGAGACGGTAGCCATCCATTCCAAGGTTTGGTGCAACAGATGGGATGCATGAACAAGAGCAGCCGTGGGCGAGAGAGAGAGAGAGAGAGAGGAGGCGTACGTAAGGGTTTCGGGT